TGTAAGCCAGCCTCCAGCCCTGACCATCTGGTCACCTTGGGTGTAGGCTTCCTCAACATCATAGAACTGCTCTTCGTCCTCCTCCTCAATGTCATGGAACTGCGTCTCTGCTGTCATGACCATGCCGGCCAGGAGTGGGTCACCGTCCTCCAACACTCTCTTCTTGGATGGAGATGAGGATTTGCTCTGGCAATTTGCTGCCAGGTGTCCAACCTTCCCGCAGCGCAGGCATGTTCGGGTTTCCATGGCCGGAAGTGCATCTCTGGCCCGTGCTTTGCCTGTCGGACCTTTTCCACTTGTCGAAGACGATGATGAGCCGCCCTTGCCGCTCTTACCTTTCTTGTTCTTTCCTTTCTTGCCTCCTCCATGGTGTTGTGAAGGCGATGATGGCGAGGTCGATGGACTGAACGGCATCTGTCGTTGATCAACCATCGCAACAACTGGATAAAAACCTCTGGCCTGTCTCAGGCTCTGCATCCTCTGCTTTGCATCTGTGTATGCTGCATAGATCTCATCAAACTCCGCTGTATCAAACAGCGATTCATCTGCCCCAGTTGCTTCGAAGAAGGCTGAGTCATCATCCTCCTGCCAGTATGTGTCGTAGGGACTCTCATCGTCAGGCCAGGCCTCAGCGCCATCATCTTCAAAGTATGCCTGATCTTGCTCCCAGTCACCCTCTGTCTCGGCTTCCTCAGTAACTGCATGGATGAGTCGGGGGTTCTTCCATCATCCTTGCTGTTGCATCGGAATCCGGCGTTGAGCGACGTGAGCATGTCGATGATCCTGCCCAAACAACAAATACAATGCTGGCTCAACTGCTGTCAATGTCAATGTGGTGCCAATGTGGGTCTGAACCATGGTCTGCTGTTCTTTTGTCAATGCAGCCCGTCTCAACATCAGCCACCCAGTCACTTCTGGTGGTAGTGTAATCTTGAACTTCATCAACTCTCGAAGCGACTGATTGAACTCTGTGCAGTATTCTAGGAGGGATTGACCTTGTCGCCTGACCAACTTGAAAAAGAACTTTTCAAAGGCCTCCGGCATCTCGACCTTCTCGTCGTACTGCCACTGGGCGTCAAGCCTTTTCAGAATGGACAGAATGCCGTCTTCTCTCGCCAGTTCACTGATCTCCAGATCTTCGCATTGACGCCACGAAGCGCCTTCCAGAACTGAAAGCACGTTCAATGCTGTCTCCTTGTCTCTGCCCTGCAACTTCTGGCGATGTGCATACAACTGGATGCGTTTGCGCCACTCCTTGTATCCAACAGTCGTGTTGTCAAATCTAGGTACGAAAAACTTGTCAGATGCGGAGTCCGGTTGCCTCCCAGTGGAGGTCTCGCTCATGGCTCTCGCGCGGCCGCCCCGGGAGCCGACGTATTGTCGGCTCCGCTACCAATGTGAAAACCTAGGTCAACAAACCAAGGTAGGGTTCCCAATGCGCTCGAGGTCAGTGGGAAAACACGGAAGTGAAAGTGCGGACATGTAAAGCCCCTTTTCGCGTAGTCGATTGGAAGTGACTCAAGGGCCCTAGGTTCGAACCCGAGTTGCGGACATCACACGGCGATCGTGACCAATTTGTGGGCCACAAATTCACATTATAGGTTTTGGATATGTTTCTTTTCCGGAACCTCCGACCTTCACCGACCTTCACCGAGCGCGCCCTCGCAGGTCTTGAAGACCATTGAGAAGATCAAGCGGCTCGGAGACGTAATGCAGCGAGTGACATGGTTGTATGTGGCCGTGTTGCCTGATGTTTTGGGTTGTTTTTTTTGCCTTAATCTTTTGGGGTGCTGAGATCATAAAAGTGAAGGTTTGGGGTGATCCTGTCGCTGTCCCGATTGATTGAATATGATTGCATGCCCCACCATTACCAGAAAAGACTTCGCCGGGCAAGTCATGACAAGACAATGCCTCTCAGCCATGCGTTATAGAATGTCACCAGTAATGTCTTGTGTGATGCCTCCATCACCTGTACACAAAGTTTCTGGTTGGCTTGGTGTGAATCTTCGATCGCACCTGGCAAAGGGGCCGTGCGAACACGGTGCAGGAATGACCTGCTTCTTGGATCACTATATGTCACTATCCAAATATTTCAATTGCTCTAAGACACAGATTTGGAAGTGAAAAATCATATAATTGATAATTAGGACTATAGGAGAATCATTTTCCCAATGGTCCACTTCCATGCTAGCGAGTCAGAGCGCAACACAAAAACGAAACACATGAGAACACGAACGCAGTCGATGTTTCTCTAAGAATGGCAGTGCAAGGCTTCTTCATCCACTGATCTCCACTGTTGGGCGGTCCACGGTCTACGCTTCACTTCACTGATCCCCTGTGTGATGATCCAAGGCCCCGAAAGCCCCGTTGTAAATTCATTCCGCTCTTTTGAGGCTGGCCCCGACAACCAAAGAACGGTTGGCCCAATAAAACCGGGTTTGATTGGAGAGAACGACCCCCAAAAACATGTCCCAGACACTCCATGGGACTGCCATATATGCCCATCAATTGGGGTGGTTTTGGAGGTCAATGTAGGCATATATGGCATACATGGAGTGTCTGGGTGTTGGCAAACACCGTTTTAGTATGTTTTAATTTGAGACACCGGCTGCCCTCAGTTGGCTCCACCATTCTTCCGTTGACATGTCGATCAAGCCGCCGATTTCGACTGACTGCAACGCCCTATGAGCGGCCGACCGAGTCCGAGTTTTTCTCCTTCTCCCGGCTGAAAACGGTGAGGAAGAAGAAGCAGACGGCCAAGCAGGCCAAGGTGGACCGGAAACTCTTAAGGCGAGTGGTGAAGACATGCGAAGACTGGTGGACTGACTAGTGGGCAGCAGGACTGCAGGACTTTTTGGTCCAATTTTGGAGGACGCGGGGGAGCAACCCCACCCCCCTTTTTCAACCAATGGTGCAAGCGCAAAGATATGTTCATGATTGTTCATGTGAGAGGATGATGGAGTGGTGACAAGAGATGCATTTTCTCGAGAAGCGGCCTGACCTTGTTTTGAGACCGATCGCGGGCCTCAAAGATGCTCTTGACGCATGTTTGCACTGTTGAGATCAGGTTTCCGGAGAGGTTCCTTGGTTTCAAGGGTGTTTTCTTAGGGCGGGTGCTCAAAGGCACATTGGAGGTGGCTCGCCCAAAAGCTTATAAAAGCTTGCTCCGTGCAGGGCTGCAAAGGAGCAAGGGGCCATCCAGTCCATCAAGGTAGTTCGACAACTCTTGGTGGCTTGGCTTGTGCGAGAGAAAAGCGGGAAACGGATTTTGTGTTTTTTCTTCGGATGCGAGCGTGGACAACGCGCCGTAGAGGATTTTGTGTCCAACAGAATGACGAACTCTGTTAGGTTGGAGGCCATCGCTACTAGGTTGGAGGCCATCGAGATTAGGTTGGAGGCCATCGCTATTAGGTTGGAGGCCATTGCTAATGGTAACGCAAAAAGAATAATAGCGGTCCTTATAAGATCTTGTAGGAGCCGCGCGGATGTCACTCCGTGGTCGTGTAGCCATGTTTTCTTCAATCACCAACGGTCCCCTTTCCTATTCCTCGATATTCCTCGTGATAGGGCAATGACACAAGGACAAGTGACAAGTGCAAACCAGCAATGGACAGGCAACATGGAATTGGGGATTGTTTGTCCTTTGCAACCGTGAATCTTTCTGAGGCTCGTCGTGCATGGCCGTGTCTCTAAATAGGGAGCTCCTAACCCAAAGGGAAGTGTATCTATAGCTACACTGAAATGCAGCTGTACTGATACAGTGCCTAGCAACCAGTCAAACTGGTGGGTATGGGCATGGGTCAGTTCCTGGAGTCTGGTCCCTGTTTAGCCGTGCTTCTTGGTGGGAACGGCCCAGTGTTCCCAGGAGGGCAAGAGGAAGGCCTCCTTCAAGCCCGATGGCCGCGAGCTGGCGCGCGACCGGCGCCTGCGGCGGGAACGGGAGAAGCGAGAGCGTGCCTGGGCCAAGGATGACGGCAGGACAAGAGGGGAAGGATGAGCAGTGAGAACACAGTGTTTTAACTGAAATGGCTGCAACTATCAGGGTCAAGGAGTTTCAACCCAGCTGCTGAGATTGATAGAATTTGTTGTAGATTGGTTTCTTCATTGCAATCCTTGGAAAGAACTGCCTGAGCCAAAAGAGCTTTCTTTTGGCCCTGCCTCCGAGGCAAGCAAAATTTGAAGTCATATGGCGAAGAGGAGGAAGAGGAGCTGGAAATCCAAGCGGGGCGACCGGGAGCCCTACGACCCATGCAGATTCTTCCCCAAAAACAAGATGAAACAAACCCTTTGGACATCGATGATGATGAATCCCGTTGCGAAGAGGGTCCTGACGATCACTTTAGTGAGTGTTTTTACTGGACTTTCTGTTTGCCGAGCTAATCCTATCTCCACTTCTCTGAGTCAGGGTCGTCGCTTGTCCGACTCACATGCGACCGGTACGCCACGGATCCCGCGATGGACCGACCTTCCGAAGGGGGGGGACCCTCGGTGACGATGACTGCGGTTCCAGGAGCCCGAGGAAGAAGATGAAGCGTTGGAATGACGCCGCCTCGCCAAGCGGGCCTTGCGCGTCATGGAAAAAAGGGAGATGTGAGACATTGGTGTGGTTTTTCAGGGCGATCTGAAGGTCCTGGAATGAGTCAGGGTGAGCCTGGAGAAGATAGCCTGAGGATGTGTCCCATATTCTCTCCACCATTGTATTGAAACTGATACTATTGCCGCATGATGCAGCATACAATTGGTAGTTTTCTTTATGTTTTTTTTTGGGGGGGGATGGATGCAGTAATACATGATGAGAGCTTCAAAAGGATCAGATTACCACCCTAGCAAGTCAACCTCCAGATGTTTTCAACCCGGTGAAAACATGTAGTCGTGGGGAAGGCTGTGGTTGTGTGACGGACTGATAGACAGACATGAGCCCAGAACATGAGCCCCAAAGGCATCATTTCACTCCTCCGGCTAGCCACCCCTCGTGGTTTGGAGAGTCCTCTGACAGTCAGGCAGTCCTGTTGCGTGCTGGCTTGGTGCATTCCATGACGCACTCAGCCTTTCTGAAGCTGCTGGAGGGCGTGCATGGGGTCCAGGGTGCCGAGGTGGAATGAGGAGAGATCCGCGACGTCTCGCAATCGCTCCGCTGGGGTGGGCAGTGCTTGTGCATTCACTTTTTCAACTCACTTGGGTTGATGACTTTTTGATGTACACCCTGGAAGACGATCCCATGGACCCTGAAAACCACTGGTCTTCCAGGGGGCCAGGATGTCAGGGTCTATGTTAGTTTTCGGGAGTGTACATCAATTACCAGTCAACCACCCTCGTTCACAGGGCTCGACGCCCCAAGGTCTCGTCTCGTGGATTCGATCGATCGAAGGCGCCACAGGGGCCGCCCGTGCGGAACCGCCCGGTGCGGCCTCCATAGTTTCTCCTAGGGTCTTATGACTCAGTTCGTGAACGTTCTATCAGCATCAAACAATACTGGAGCTCAAGCAGAAGCATTTGCCCCAACAACCTTGCAACATGAACAAACACATAATTACTGTATTAAGATGCATTATACTCAATTGAGCAACTCCCAAGACTATGATGGGTGTTCCAGGCCACCTTGCCATCCGACCTGGCGCTCCTTCAGCGGCCAGCGCTCCTTCAGCTGCAGAAGCCGGCGCTGGCTTCGGCGCTTCTGAGGTCGATGAACCGGTTGAGGGCCGTAGAAAGCAGAGCGCCACCCTGTTCCAATCCATCATCTACGGTTTACCCCTATTATATATATTCACTTGCTGGTTGATCGTTCTGCTAGAACCACATTAGAAAGAGCAAATGCACCTCGCTGTTTCAGCATGAAAAAAGAGCCGGTATGAGCAGGTTGGGGGTTGGGGGTCAGGATGGATGAAAAGCTCAAATCCCAAGTGGTGGTTTATAGAGGGACTCGCCAAAAACTGTTTGGGGGATTTGAGCCGTTCGATTTTTTTTGCATGGATTTCATCCCTGAGCCAGATCCCCATGAGTCAGATGCACTGGGCACAGTGTGTGGAGCTGAAGTCAGCATCTTTCAGCAGCCAACATGGAGCCCGGAACACCAAGATGGAAGAAATCGTGGACCCTTGGATCCTTGGATCGTCTTTCCGACCAGGTGTGACCCGGTAGCCTTTGGGAAGGGATCGGCGGCCAGGCGCTGTGGCGAGGTCTGGCAGGTTCTCCCCCTCCCTTGCGGCGGTTCTTTGACCCGCATCGATGTGGGACGGATCAGCCTCGCTCCTACATCCGGTCGATCTACCAGCACCGACTGAAACCAGGTCAATTGAAACCTGTTAGGGCCTAACAAAGCTCCAAAGGAGACCTGGAAGGTGCTGGTGTACAAATCTGGGGTTGCATCTGGGTGGTTTGGAACCATGGTTCGTCTTGGGATGGCATTTCTTCATCCAATCTGTAGAGTGGCCCACTACAAAGCCCATTGGCTGTTGAATGTGACCAACATTAACACACCAGGAGTCACAAAGGGGTTGCTTTTAGTCCCATTCAGTGAGTGGGTAGTGGGCACCCCTGTCCTCCAACAGGCATCCCTGTGTGACTCCTGGTAGGATGCCTTTCATTCATTCCTTCGACTCTCAGGCTTTGTGATGGCTGTGCCACACCTTCTTCTGACGCCCCGTCCTTCGGCTTCAGCTGCTCCGTCCATGCTCGCACCAGTTCTCAGGACCTGCAAGAACCCAGTGACCCTGCATCTGCAGTCGGTGCTAGGGCGACCCTAGCACGCACGGCGCGACGTCAGTCCACCCATGGTAGGGAGCGGTCGGCGAACTGTTAAAACTCCACGCGCCGGGCGCATGATGCGAGCCATGCGCATGGAGAAGCGTCGGCGGGGCCGGGTCGTAGGGGAGCCTCAGGACAGGCGAAGAGAGCAAGGCATCCTCCTCCTCGGAGTATCCAACTCTGAAATTCACCACCCGGGACGTGTCATTTCACTCGCACACACGTGCATTTCAGTCCAGCAGATTCCAGCGAAAGAACGCTGACCAGGAACAGCGACAGAGGAGCGACATGAAGGATCCATTAAAGATCATAAAAGTATTTTTCGGGTGGCGACGAGGTCCCCTTCCCTGAGGTCCCCTTTTTTGAGGAAAAAAGAGCCACCATTTTAATCAATTGTTATGCTTGTTGCTTTTTGATGTTTTTTGAATGTTTGTTCAATGCTTTTGCTGTGGGTTGTTTATATGTGTTTGTTTTCCAAGTGGCGGTGTTTATTGCTGATATTTTTGCAAAGCGACAAGTAGGAGACTGAGCCGGAGTCTTGTTAGTTCCAACCCTTCACCATTTGTCAAATTTGTCATAGCAAGTGTGGCAAGTACTCCGGAGTTTGCCACTTGCGTTAGCCTCCTGCTTGCCACAATTCATTCAACGACTTCTTGAGCGGCCGGGCCACCTCAAAAAGGCCGGGCCGCCCGGGACATGATACATTATAGATAGCTTCATATAACACATGACTTGTACAGCCTCTTGTGCCCCAACATGATGTTTCACAAGTTTCAGTGCCGTGCCATTTCCTTTGGTGTCCCGAGGTGCTGCCACTTTGTCTCGCCCTCATCGCCAGGGAGACTCGGGAAGACGACGGTCGGGAGACAGGGGGGCTGTGACCTCCGGCAACAAAGCTCCGGGATGGTTGGTGGAAGATGATCCGATAGTCTGATTCAGACCCCAAGTGCTAAACCATGCTAAACCAGACAGAACGTTAAGAGTTTTGGAGTGGCACTGAAGCTTGGGCACGTGGATTGGTAAGTGAGCTGGTAAGGGCGTGTTGCTTCAGCCTTGCAACTTGGAGAATTGGACTTGCGATGACTTGCGTCTATAGTGCCGTAGGCCAGGACGGTGATCTTCACCCAAAAGCTGACTTCCGCCTGCAGCTGTCACCATTCGCCCAACCATCTAGAAGTTGCTTCACTTCTAGGTGAGCACTACTGCATCTGAATTCACCATGATAATTTCTCCTTATGGATGGTTCGTGAGTCGTGGTCGGGCCCATCTGTCTCCAGGAGTTAATCTGGGAGGCCATAAGCTAGGCATGATTCATATAGATTCGACTCATTCGACCCCCTTGTAAACCGGGGGGCGGCCGCCGCTTCCGTGACCGGAAGCCCCCCGACCGTCGCGGGTGCGACCGATGGCCCGGGGGTCGGAACGAAGACCGAGGTCTTGGCTGGTCATTGGGACTTCGTGGGCCCGAACAGGCGTGGCGACTGGGGTGAAGTGAGTGAGTGAGTGAGATGCCATGAGATGCCTTCTTACATCTTCGTACAGTTGTAGGGAAGAATTAGGCCGGGCAATGAGATGAACATGCAGAGTGTTGATGCGTACAAGGTCAGCTGAGCCGCGAACAAGAAAGCGGATGCGTTAGCAAACGAGTTCGCAAAAGAACTCTGGCGTTCGGATGCGTTCGGTAGGCATTGGATGTACTTTCACTGGGCTCAAGTTCGGCGAAAAGACCCATCGACCTCAGCTGTGCTCCCCCTTGCGCCGATTTCAACCGGTCCAGCATGAAGACCCTTTGTGCGCTGATGCTGGTGGCTGTGTCCAAGGCACCAAGACCGTGTCGGCTACATGCCGGTCGTAGGTCGTAGGTCGTGACGCGACGGGTAGGTCGAGCGAGCTCGTGTTTGATACGTACCAAAGACACCGAGGAGTTCGAGCGTTTCTCGCAGCGTGACGGCAGAGTTGCATCGATTTGCCACCTTGCGCGGGACTGGTCCAAACGTCGGATGGGTCGGAGTCGATGCCGGTCGCGCGGAGAACGCGCCCGGAGGCTTCCTTGGAGGAGGACGTGGCTTTGCTGAGGGCAGAGGTGAATGCGCAGAACCTTGGCATTGCCGGAGCTCCTGGGTTTAGATGCCCAAGACCACTTTGGACAAAGTTCAGTCTTACAAAATCGCCCGTTGGGAATTGAGCCAAGAGTCTTGAGAGGAGTATACAGTATGGAACCGGTTGACGGGTGTGCTTCTTTAAGCCCTGGCCTAGCGGCCCCCCACGGCTGAAAAAAGAAAGTTGGTCGAAATCGAGACGTAGTGGAAACTCCGGTGGTATGTTGATATGTTGGGTCTGCCCTATTTCCTGTAACAGTCAGTCAACAAGGCCTTTAGTAATCAGCATCATCCGCTGGGCCCTTTGATAGAGCATGATAGACCCAACTGATATATTATATACATATATAATATGTATGTTGCGCTTGTTTGGTGTATGTGGGCGGGTTTGACTTCACGATCTTCATGAGTTTGGCACTCAACCAGGAACCCTGTGTCTCACGTGTTGGTGTCAAGCCAGTTAGTTACCCTCCAAGAAACCATGGAACCGGACACCTCCCGGTAAATGGGAACATCGACAGCTGATGAAAGGAACGCCGTTACCGTGTTGGGCCGTGTTGGAGGATCAGGGCCCAGGAGGTCTTTGAAGCTAGGAGGAAGCTACTAGGACCTACTAGGAGGTCTTTAAAGCTACTAGTACCAAGAAACCACTAGGAACATTCTTGTTACTAGCTTCAAAGACTTCCTAGTAGCATCCTTGCTCCTAGTAGTCAAAGACCGTTCCTAGTAGCTTCAAAAGGTTGGTTCCCCAAAAGCCCGTGTTGGAGGAGCTCTTACAGCCGTTCCGGGCTCCTGAGGAAAGAGATCCTGCAGAATCAGCAAGCCATCCTCAAAGATTTGGCACCCATTGGTCGGCAGCTTCAAACGGGCTGGGTGACCCAAGCAGAACTGACGGCCGCAGTGACTGCTTTGCAGAACACTGACTACAGCCTGGGAGGAGCCTTGGATTCAGCCTGGCTTTGCTTGTGTGGTGCATTGGTGATGTTCATGCATGCTGGCTTCGGCATGCTTGAGACGGGCAGCTGCCGTGCAAAGAATGCATCCAACGTGCTCATGAAGAACTTGGTGAACGTTTGCGTGGGCACTTTGGGGTGGTGGCTTTTTGGGTGGGCCTTTGCCTATGGTGCCCAGAATGGTCGCTTGGATATATATATATATTTGATATGGAAGCAGGTTCTTTTGCACATTTCCCCAACCCCAATCCAAGCTTGAACGATGTTTTCGCATGGTGTTTGCATGTGCTTTCACATGGAGGAACTTTATCGCACGGATTCTATGATGATGAATCATGACAGATAGAAAGTGGCCATCTCATTAATTACATCAAGAGTTCATCCATCCATTAGTGGATTGAGGCAACGGTTTCATTGGAACCACGGGCTTTGCCGGCTTCGACTTCTACACCCAAGATCAGACCACGGGTGTCATCACTCCAATGGCAAGCTGCGACGCAGATGGGTGCCAAAGCGTCATGCTAAGCTGGTTCTTTCAATGGGAGTCTCAGCCTGAAATTCGTTGTATATACGAATCATATGTCCAATGTAATTATGTGGGGGGCAAGTTTCAAACTTGTTTTGAGACTGATGGACTGAAAATGGAAACCACATGACACCGCATGACTGACCTGACTGCATGGCATGAGCATGGACATGCCTCAACCGCAGGCGCCTTGAGCATCGCACGCTCACTCGAAAATGACCGCCATACGGGGCGGTGCTTTGTCCGTTTGTTTTCATCTTACCCCGCTTCGTTGAACTCCGCTCTACCCACAGTGGTAGCGGAGCCGGCAAAGACCGGCTCCACCTTGCCATGGACCCGTGGGCCTCCGCAGACCCTTGGAGCGGCTACCGCGGCTGCGGTGGCTGTGGCGGCTGCGGAGCCGGCCGTGGCGCTCGACCTCCCATGGCTACGGGAGGTGCTCACTGCCCAGCGGCTTCCGCTGGTGATGCTTCCGCCCGGACTTGGTCCGGTGTTGTTATGGGCGGCATGCCCTATGGTTCGACCTACGGACTTCATCCTGGAGTACCTCATGGTTCCGGAGGTGTGTTCGCCACGTCTTCCATGGCAGGTCAGCCCCAGGCCCCCGCTGTCGGAGCGGGACCACAGTGCAGCTCCGGCTTTGGCGGTGGTCTTGCAGGAACTACGCCTTTGGGTCAGGGCTCAATGCCTTCGCCTCCCGGCTTTGCTTTTGGCTCTTCCTCAGGAATGCCTTCTACAGCACAGCCTCCTCAAGCTCAGTCTGGACCCTCCCAAACGGGAAGCCCGAATCCTCCAAGAGGAATGAACTCTTCCACCAACCCTGATGGGTTGGGTGGTGCTTCAGGGCATGGTCCTGGTTCGGCCAGCGCTTTCATGGATCGGCTCAATGCCAACTCGGCTACAACATCAAGTCCGCCTCCAGTGGCGAGTGCCTTCGAGGCATTGGGCAAGGCGCCGATGACGACTTCATCGACTTCCGCGCCTACGGATCCTGCGGTGGCTGGAGATCAGGTGGTCAAGGCTTTGACAGCGGCCTTGACAGGTGAACGAAAGAGCATCCCTCAATGGTCAGGCCAGGTGGAAAACCTTCGTTCCTGGCTACGCTCACTGGCCTTTTGGGAGCTGGACAACAACATCCCGAAGAGCAAATGGGGTTTGAAGCTGCTGATGTCCTTCCCCGAGAACTCTGCCCCAAGAAAGCTCGCGGAGACCATCGACATGACGGTCACCGCCTCAGAGAATGGATACGGCACGATCTTGAGTGCCATCTTCACCAAGTACGCCCCGTTCCTGGAGGCCGCAGCTCCTGCGGCCATCGATGCCTTCTTCTTCGGCCCCGAGCGAAGCCGCTCGGAAAGCTTCTCGGCGTACATCGCCACCAAAGAACTGGCTTTGCAGGACATGGAAGCCCAAGTTGGCGAGAAGATGCCACCAAGGATCGCCGGCCGCATCTTGCTGAAGCACGCCAACCTTTCCGACCAGCAGCGGGAAAGCTTGGCGATCAAGCACAACGCCCTGCTCACCTTCGACCAGGTCGCCCAAGCCCTTCGACCGCTTGACCGACCTGAAGCCCTTGTGCACAAGGTGGCGAAGAACTTCGTGACTGCCACCAAAGAGGACCAGAACGAGTTCGAGGAGATTCCAACCGGCGAGGCCGACGAATATGATGATGAAGATCTGGATGAACCTCCAGAAAGTGATGGTGAGGGCAACCTGACCTTCTTGTACTATGACCCCAATGCCGAGTACACGGAGGAGGAGGCGCAGTACATCTACGCCTACAACTCGGCCTACAAGGATGTGAGACGAGAGCTGCAAGCCCATCGAAAGGGACGACAATTCTTCAAGAAGGGCAACAGCAGAAAAGGAAAAGGGGTCATCAAGGGCAAGAAGGGCAAGAGTCGACCCTCGCAGCATGGTGAACGCGGCTCAGTTGATGATTTGAAAAGCCGCACCAGATGCTTCAAGTGCAACCAGCTGGGCCACATGTCTCGTGAATGTCCCGAGAGGAACAAGCAGAACTTCTTTGTCAGCACGGGCCCAAGCCTTGGTTCGAATCGGATCTACATGACCGTCCGCTCAGACTACCAGGCCATCGTCGATGAGCACGTTCAGGACTATGACATCGAGCCACGAGTTGGCATTGGTTTGGCGCCAGATGCCACGAAGAAGCTGGCGATCGACGCTGGCGTGGTGACGGAAGGCTATGAGGCGATCGTTGACACCGCCACTGAGGAGGGAGTGATTGGGTCGAAAGCGATGTCCCGACTTCGCCAATGCCTCAGCCGCTTTGGACTGACACCGGTCCCCGCCTCAGGAGCTTCGGTGAACTGCGCCGGCATCGGCGGCTCAGCCAAGATCGGTGGCATCTACGACATCCCCATCGGGGTGGCCAAGACCAATGGCCTTCTCCGTGTCACGGAGATCATCGACGAGGGCAGCTTTGAAACACCCTTCCTACTTCCCATCTCCTATCAGGAGCTGGTTGGGGCCGTGATCAATGTGGACAAGAACACCTTCAGCCTTCGCAACGGCCACAAGACTTCAATGCGACGAACTCCCTCGGGTCACCGCGCCATCCCGATTTTGGAGTTCGGCAAGCGCTGGGAGCTTCCAACACAGCTGAAAGAGGAGCTGAACCTGTCGGAAGATCCTTTTCGCCTTTCCCCAGCACAACAACCTGCTGGTGTTCGCCAACGCCTTGGCGTTGCTGTGTGGTTGAAAATGGATGAAGGGCAGCTGCAGTACATGACTACCCTTCCTGGCCCTCGCTCCACTCTGGTTGACCCTCGTGAAGTTCTTCCCCACCAAGTTTTGGAGACCTTGGGGCCTACACGGACTTCACATGTGAACTTCATCACCAATGACTTCACCACCATCACCGATGTTTGGGACACCACCAACCAGCGCCAACTACCATTTTGGGTCGGAGACGTGTTTTTCGAGCTCGGTTCGCCTACCTCGACCTCTCCTTCCGGCCGTTTTGGCGCTGTTGAGGCTGCCTCCATGGCCCAACCTGCAGGAGCCCAGCAGGCTCGGACCTCGATCGACATGAAGCACAAGAAGAATGTCAGCTTTCATGCACACCCCATGGAGCAGTCGCCATCGGTTTGTGAGTACTTTGAGCTCAGCGATGCACATCTGCCAACCGTGATGCCCGATGACCTTCCGGTTCAAGCTGGCTCAAAGCTCGCAACGCCTGGTGCCCAGGATGAAGTCTCGCATCAGCCAATGGCTCACCACAGCCGACAAGGAGGAGGTGCACAAGCCCAAACGCATGGGCCACGAGAAGACCCTGGCTGCTTGGAAGCGCATGGCCATGATGATCATCCGCCTGATCGTCCAAGCAGTTCAGCAGAACGCCATGGAGTACCTGACCGAGCGCAATGCCATCATCGAGTTGAAGGACGAGCCGGCGATCCTGGAAAAGGACAAGAAGAAGCCCGCAAAGAGCGAGATCGCTGGAAAGGTCCGTCGTGGCATTGGCCGACCTCTGCCAAGGTCCAAGGCGAACGCACAGTGGGAGAAGTCACCAGCCGACTGAGTCCACATCGAGGACCATCTTCGTCAACGAGGCTCAGGGTCCCGATACTGGTGGACATGCTTGGACTGTGGCTCTCGATGGGAAAGGGTCGAATGGGAACCGGACGTCAAGGTGAACACAAGCAAGTCCGGATCTTCAACGGATCGGAGGGAGATGACCATGGTGGCCTACTCCAAGACACCGTACCCCGAGCGGCTGCCGCCTCCGAAGTCCCGGCCGGACCTCAGCTCTCTCCTGGTGTCCGAGTACACCCCTTCGTCAATGACGCCATCGAGGAGCATGCCACAGACACCAACTCCGTCGGATGTGCCGCACCGCACTCAGGGACCACTGCCAGCGGTGGAGGATGGGAATATGACCGAAATACCAGTGACGCCTTCATGGTTGAGAACACCATCGCCATCCCCAGCGGCAGTGCCTTCGGACAAGAGAAGCCTGGGTGCAGGAGTTCGCCCGATGCAGGCACGAGCAAAGCCCAGGACACCTCGCCGCTACGAGCCTCAGGAGATCTTCGAGATCCACTCCGACGGCGAGCTGATCCTGGATGCAGACGAGATGGATGCAGCCGAGCGGGCAGTGGTCAGCCCATGAATGCCAAGGCCACCACGACACCTACAGGCACTACGAGCACTACGAGCTCTTCGAGCACCACGACAAGCTCTTTGAAGCACGTGAGGGGCAAAGCCGCCAACGCGCTCCTCACCACCGTGCTGATCTTTTGCACCTTGCCAGATGCAGCTGCCAAGTTCTCTTGGCTTGGTCCGCGGCTGGAGGCTACGGACGAATCCCTTGGCAAGGATGCCTTTTTGCACCACCACACCTTTGTTTTGGGGTCCAGCACTCAAGAGCTGGCCCGGACGGATTTTGATGGCGCCCCTGCAGTTTTGACTAGAGCTCAACGACATTTTGTCCAGAGCCACATCAAGAACTTCCTTGAGGACGTGGGTGAGGTCTACAGCCCTCCTCGTGTGACAGCCGAGGCTAAGAAGCGCGGCCTGAGCGGTTCAATCGCTCTTGACCTGACCACTGGCTGGGACTTCAAACTTGCCAGCCACCGTGAAGAAGCCCGCAGCCTCGTGAAGACCAAGAAGCCCGGAGTCTTGTTGCTGTCACCACCTTGCACCACATACAGCCCACTTCGACGCCTCACGAACTACAAGCGACATCCATGGGAAGTGCAACAAGAAGAACAAGAAGGAGATCTTCACATGGACTATGCTGTCTCCCTGGCCGAGGACCGGGGTTTCATTTTGGAACACCCAGCCAATGCGACTTCCTGGGTCGAGAACCCGCGGCTGCAGCAATTGTTGAAACGGCCCGATGTTTTTGTCATCTACCTGGATATGTGCCGGTTCAACCTCCGAGCTGCCAAAGGCCCTGTTCCGGGTGCCCTCGCCAAGAAGCCGACCTTGCTGGCCACCAACATTGAAGAACTAGGCCACTATGTGGAGCGGTCCTGTGACAAGAGCCATGACCATGGACCCTTGATCGGCGGTGGAGCTCGCCAAGCTGCAATCTACACCCCGGAGTTCGTGAAGGCCCTGGTGGATGGGATCAAGGAAACTTTGGGCTACAAGACCATGAACCAGCACTCCAAGCACGAGCCGCCCCGCAAAGTTGGACGAGCCCTTGGTGCGCTGGCCTTCACCTACGCCAAGGAGAACATGGAGATCGAACAGGAGCTGGAGACTCTGGCAACCATGCCGGTGACCTTCGAAGAGGACCAGCTCATGGAAGAAGCCCAGCCTGCTCCACGACAGCCCCCGGAGGATGACATCCCTCCGTTCGATGTGGAAGCGGCAGTTCGATCTCAGCTCAGAAATGTGAGCAGTGGTTCGAGAGTTTCCGAAGCACTCCAAACCCTCGAGGACTTCCAGAAGGTCAATGAGGATGAGTTCGCCCTGGCTCCACAGTTGAGGCGAGAGGTTCATCGAGTGCATCGCAACCTTGGCCATCCCTCCAAGGACATCTTTCTCCGCGCGCTCAAGCACGCAGGTGTCCGAACCGATATCATCGACTGGACCAAGGCTCACTACCGCTGCCCCGTGTGTGAAGCTCGACAGAGGCCGACGCCGGCCAGACCAGGCCATTTGATGAGGGCCCTGGAGTTCAACACCGTTGTGGGCATGGACCTCTTCTTCATGGAGCTCTTTGGCAAGACGTACACCTTCCTCAACGTCCTCTGCTGGGGGACCAACTTCCTCCAGGTTGACATCCTGGAGACGAAGGCTTCACAAGAGGTGCTGGACACCTTTCTGCGCCTTTGGGTGCAGCACTACGGAGCTCCCGTGCTTCTGGTAGTGGATCGTGGACGCGAATTCTTCAGCCAGAAGTTCGTGGAAGCGGTAGCTTCGTTGGGCGTGGGCATACACTTTACCGACCCTGGCTCTCCGTGGCAAAACTCCCGCACGGAAAAAGCAGGAGGATTGGTCAAGGAGAAACTCGCTGCCACGCTCCTGGAGACTTCAGCATCCCCGGCAGAACTCAAGACAGCCCTGGCAGAAGTTGTCGCCGCAAGGAACAGGTTCATGGATCGTTTTGGCTTTTCGCCAATGCAGCGGGTCTTTGGCAAGAACCTGAGGCTTCCCGCCTCCCTGCTCTCCACGGACGCCCTGGACCACGAGCTGACCGAGCTGTCCGCCAATGAGCAGATCCAACGGGTCTGGAGCATCAGGGAAGCTGCTGCGAAAGAATGGATGAAGCGCCAAGACCGAGATGCAGTTCGGCGCAGTGTGCGAGCCAAAACCAGAACCTCCGACATGAAGAAGATCCCTCCTCGAACCTGGATCTATGTCTACCGCGACTCTCCCTCCTACCGTGGTTGGACTGGGCCAGGAGTCTACCTGGCTGATGATGTGACCAACCGCTCAGCTTGGGTCTCTATGAGAGGCCGCTTGTGGAAAGCCTCGCTCGAGCAGATCAGGCGAGCGACGCCGGAGGAAGAGTTGGGAGCTGAGCTGGTGGTTGAACTATCCAAGGAGCTCATGGACAAGCTGCAGCAGCCTGGCCAAGTTGTCTACCAGGACGTGACTGCAGAAGGACACCCTGAAGATGATGAGTTCCCTGAAGATGCTGTTCGTCGAGTCCTTCGCATCACCGAGGACACCGGCCAAGCAGATCGACCTGAACCACCACCTCCAAGCTCTGCAGAAAGCACGCACCTGGGATCGGAAGAAAACACGCTTCCGGACACAGCTACCGTCCCTGGCACCGCTGACCACAGCAGGCGAGCAAGCATGGAAGTGGAGACTGAAGAGCCCTTCGTCCCGGAGCCCATGGAGACCATCACTGAAGATCAGTTGGCTGCTACACCCATGGGACCTCCTCCAGTTGCTGAAGGCCCTCGAGTTGTTCGAGTGGACGAAGGTACTTCAGGCACCATGACATTTGGCCCTGCTCGCACCTCGTCAAGTTCAAGTGCAAGGCGCTCGACGTTGCCTTACCACGCGCCAGAGACGCCTCCCGTTGGTTGGACTCCACCTCGCGCTCCATACCCATTTGATCAAGGTGCACCTTCCCTACCGAAGCCACCTGGGGAGTCCTTCTTCATGGAAGTCATCGACTTCGAGCGCAACCAGACCTCAGGCAGTGTGAACACTGGCTTCATTGGTGCAACTTGGAAATACAGTCGAGAGCAAGGTGAACGAGTCCTACAGCCACGAGATCCTACCTCAAGCAGGACCTTCACAGCCGACCACGCTGAGGCAAGCTTCTGCGAACGTGATCGATGCATCTATGTGACCAAGGCCAAAACTTCTTTCGGCCAGGTCGAGTTCAGCAAGCTTGCCGAGGACGAGAAGAAGCTCTTCCGCGAAGCTCGAAAGAAAGAGCTGGACAGCCTGGTGACAAATGGAGCTGTGAAGGTGATGTCCGTTGAAGAAAGTCGTGCCTTCCTCAAGGAGTTCCCCGACCAGGTGATCGACTCCCGCTTTGTCGACCGCTACAAGCCAAAGGAGCTGGATCCAAACACCATCTCCGAGTTCAAGAGACGAGCCATACAAGAAGGCCACATGGAAGCAGTTCCGCTTCAAGTGGACCAGCGCAACCCCAAAAGCCGCTGGTGTGTTGTCGGATGGCAAGACCCTGACGTGCTGGAGGTTGAACGGTCGAGTCCGACTCCTTTGAGTACATCCATCTACACCTGCCTCCAGCTGGCTGCCTCGAGAAAGTGGAAGACGCACATCAAGGACGTCAAGACGGCCTTTCTCCAAGGACGTCCTACCACGAGGACACGCCGCCTTGCCTGCCGCCAACCTCGAGATGAAGCTCTACCTGGACTGCACCCTGAGCAGTTGTTGCTTTTGGAGACCGAGGTCTACGGCCTGGTCTCTGGCCCTTCATGGTGGCGACGCAGCCTTCTGGGCATTGCGGAACAGTTGGGCTACAAGATCTGCCCCTACGACCGCTGTGTGCTCACCCTTCCAGGTGAGAAGGCTGACGAGATGACCCCAACAGATGGCTTCATGGTCATTGAGGTCGATGACATTGCCGAAGCCGGCAACGACCGCCACCGGGCCAAGATGGAAGAGCTGCACAAGCTGCTCAAGTTCGGCAAGATCGAGGCCCTCTTCGACTCCAATGGCTCCTCCTATGCTGGTCGCCAGATCAAGCAGAACAAGGACTACAGCTTTGAGATGAACATGGAGGAGTTCATCTACACCCGGCTTGAACCCATCAAGCTCAGCCGACGAGTCCTGAAGAAGGATGCCGCCTCCATGCCCTTGAATGAGGCGGAGAAGACGCAGCTGAGAGGGCTCATTGCGAGCCTCAACTGGATTGCTCGTGAAGCCCGACCGGATGCAAGCGCTGCAGCGTCGCTGCTTACCTCGGCGTTTCCATCGCCGTCGATGAGCCACATCCTGTCGGCGAATGACATCGTGGCTCACTTGAAGACCTTCCCGGTCACCTTGAAGGTGCACGCCATCAAGGAGAGCAAGCTGCGCAACATCCTCATCAGCGACTCGGCCTTCGACACTTCAGGAAAAGAAAGGTCGCAGCATGGCTGGCTGCTTGGCTTCACGGACGACACCATGAATCGTGGAGCCCTGGCACCTGTGTCGCTGATGCAGTGGCGCTCGAAGAGACTGCGCCGGAAAGCCTCGAGCTCACTCCTTTGCGAGGCAATTTCCATGTCAGCGGCCACAGCAGCCTTGGAGCGGCAAGACGCCATGATGGAGGCGATTTCCAAGTCGCACTTCAACCCTCGGCGCCGGCAGCGCAACGAGGACGACCTCCTGGAGCTGGCTGGCAAAGCGACGGTGATCGCAAGCCAGTCGGGTCAGTACATGGACCCGAAGAGCCTTGTCCTGATGGACGCCAAGAGCCTGTACGACTCGCTCAATGCCGAGCAGGCTCATGGAGATGATGAAAGAAGCGCTTTAGAGGTGGCCATCATCAAGGAGAGCCTGGCAGTGACCTCAGGAAGGCCTCGATGGCTGCCTCACAACCACAACTCGGCCGACGCGCTGACCAAGATCGCGTCTCACTCGGAGCCTTTGCTGAAGCTCCTCCAGACGAACCACTTCTCCATAGAAGAGGAGACCACGGTTCTTGAGCGCGGTCGACAGCACGAGGACCGTCGCAAGAGCTCACTTGCCAACGCGGCCAGGTCAGCAAGAGTTTTGGGGGCTGATGGACTGAAAATGGAAACCACATGACACCGCATGACTGACCTGACTGCATGGCATGAGCATGGACATGCCTCAACCGCAGGCGCCTTGAGCATCGCACGCTCACTCGAAAATGACCGCCATACGGGGCGGTGCTTTGTCCGTTTGTTTTCATCTTACCCCGCTTCGTTGAACTCCGCTCTACCCACAAGAGAGTGTTTGAGCCCACATGACTTTGACACGCAATGATCGTTCCCAGGCATTTTGCACTGCTGGTGCCACCATCGTCAGTGGTGCAGTTGCTGAGCGTGTGAAGAGCCCCACATATGCGGTCTTTGCATTCTTGCTGCTGGGATTTGATACTAACATATACTAACTTGTTCAATCTTTTTCCTGTGGATCATGATGGGTCATGGAAGGCTCACACACACATGTGATTCCGGTTGGAACCACAAAGGTAGCACCGAACGAACCCATCCAACCTATCCTAAAGGGCCGTCCCCGCCCTCGCTCTTTACCGGTGTCCTGCCCGAGTCCCCTCGTGCCTTGAGCCAACATTGGCGTGTCGAAATGCTCCGGTCGGATCGAACTGCACGAACTGCTGGTCTGATTCATGAGAAGGTGTTCAAGGTGAACTTCCATCAAATTCACGCACATCATATATATATATATATCATATATAAACACAGTCAGTCACATGGTCGTCGCGTTCCAGACGCTGAAACCGGCTCTAAGGATGGCGAGCTTCATCTACCCAGTCATTGTGGCATGGTCTTGGGGTGGAGGCTGGATTGCCACCGTCCTCGATGTTGGCTACATGGATTTTGCGGGCAGTGGTGTGGTCCACCTGACAGGAGGAGTGGCTGGCTTGGCAGGAACCATTGTGCTTGGACCACGAGCGGGGCGCTTTACGAACCCTGATGAGTTTGAGTGCCACAACCTTCCTCTGGTGGTGCTGGGCACTTTCGCTTTGTGGTTCGGTTGGTATGGCTTCAACCCAGGTTCCACCCTTTCAATGCACGATGGAGCAACCGGTGCCATGGCAGCTCAGGTTCCTTGCAAGTGCTTGAGGTGACTTTTGTTTTCAGTTCCTGATCTATACTGATGACCGACACTAATGTTTACAGTGTTGCCCCGAATCCTTTGTACACGCAATTCCCAGGTTGCGATGAACACAACATTGTCTGCGGCTACTGGTGGAATCACTGTCTTCATCCTTCGCTACGCCATCACAAAGAAGTATGACGTTGGTGGCTTGTGCAATGGCATTCTTGCAGGCTTGGTCTCCATCACGGCAGGCTGCGGCAACATGGAATGCGGCAGTGCTTTTGCTACTGGATTGATTGGAGCATTTTTCTACCAAGGTTCTTCCATGCTCGTTCAAAAGCTGAAGATTGATGATCCAGTGGACGCCGCACCAGTTCACGGCTTTTGTGGCATTTGGGGTGTGTTGGCATGCGGCTTCTTTGATTGGGGAAAGGGTTTTGATCATTACCATGGCTGGAGGCTTTTCTGCAGATAGATGGCCATATAGAGTACAGGATAAAATGAACTTTGCCAAGCTTGGCTTATGTTTCTAGTTTGCTTCAGCCTTGACTGCCGAGATCTAGCTTAATATCTACCGTCATCAGTTGACAGTGGGAGATCCAAAAGCACAATCCTTGAGCCATTCTGTCGCGTCAATGGAGCTTTGGCGCAGTTGAGGAGTGGTTTTGGATGCATGCCTGTCTCAACGACGGACTCCACTTGCCAGACCGGCATTGGGGGCAGTGCTATCGGAGCACAGTTCATCCTCATCATCATGGTGCGGGGTGTGGATTGTGACTGCAGAGAATGATTTAATTTTACAAGTGCAGTGGGCCATGGACCATCAAGAACAGGGTGTTGGCAACCTGTATCAAAGCTTAATCCTCTTGAGTGTCTTGTTGAATTGACCAGTATTTTGGTTTTCGGAAACTGACGGAGGTGATTCTGTGGTCTGGCAGCCTTTCCGCCATCATTTTCTTGATTCTGAAGCTCACCGGTACTTTGCGCATCAGTGAGGAGGTGGAACAGGTGAGGATGGGTCTTAGGCGGTCACCAATTCCAGACTGCTTAAGGTGGTCACGGCCGACGGAAGCAGCAGTCCTCGTTAGCTTTGCGTTTTGTTTTGCCTGCGTTCCATCGGCGTCCGGTTTGAACTCCCCATTCAGTGCTTGCTCCGTTCGCGATGGCCGAGCGGCCCCCGCTCGTGAGAGACGGCACCGGAATTGCAGGTGGGCATGGACTCTCACCACCATTCACCGGCCAAGGTGGGGTCCGGGCCACCGTGGTGAACCGATGGACACGCCGATTCCGGGAGAGTGGTCAGGGGATTGGAGGGATGTGGCATGATGTGGCTGCCTGGGGAATGGGATGAACGTCAAAGGCATTCTTTTGCTCGTGGATTGAGTGCGTGACGGGGGGGGGCTGCAGAACTTGGTTTCAGTAGGAGTAGGAACTGTTTTTCAGACCTTTGGTCATCGTCAGCTTCACCTGTGGCTGCCTTTGGCCACCAGTGACATGAGTCGTGGAAGGAGTTTCGGCCGGTCGAAGCTCCCTGGAGGCCTACTCCCTGACCGGCGAGCCTGGCGCTACTCAAACCACCAAGATTGGCGTGCTCCCATCCCCGGCATAAGAGAATGGAGTGAAGTGGCAGTGCTGGGTGCGAGCCATGCGCCAACGCATCGAACATAACGGAGAGATGCTGTGAGTTGCTTGGATGGGAAGGCGGTGGCTATTTGTCGTCATACGTTGGTGAAAGACAACCGTCGATAATGTACTGTAGAGTCCTTTGCCGGGTCCCAATTAGAATCTCCTTAGTGTTCAACCTCCATTCGGATGATCAATGTGTGTTTGCTGATATTGGGGTGGGTTCACCAACCAGTCGTGTTCTCACAGAAGTGCACGCAGCGACCTAGGTTCTCCGGGTCGCTTTTTGTCTTCGAAAGAGTGGAGCTCTTTAGATCGAATCGGCCACCCCTGGCGGCAATCTGACCATCTTCCTGCAGACTGCCAATGCCAGTTCAGTGGTAGAATTGCGCCTCCCGATTGCATTCTTCCACACGGCTTGACCTTCTTTTTCAAGGGTTTGGAAGACCTGTGTGCTGAATTCAGGCGTGCAGGTATCCTTCGGGCCCCTTCACAATGTCCGAGCCATTTCAGGTGACGAAGTCATTTGGAAGGCATGTACCGAATAGTCACTTGTTCGCAGGACAAACACAGCCACATTGAAGGGGCTGCACGTTCCACGCCGATAGGATTGCCATTCGCACATGGAGCAGCTGATGCGTTCAGATGTTTTTTTCTTCAACATATCCGTTGTCCACTTACAATACACCCTGGAAGACTAACATGGACCCTGAAAACCACTGGTTGGTAGAGGAAAACAATCTTCCAGGGGGCCATTGTCAGGGTCTATGTTAGTTTTCGGGAGTGTATCTTATATTACTATTACTATAGTACTGAATTGGGCTCAGGTGAGGGCAGATTGGGAACGCAGACAGGCAGAGTCTTTTTGAAAGAGCAAGAGGATTGGAAGGAAGGGTGACCATTTTTGGGACCTGAAGAGAGAAAAAGGCTCCCAAATCCAGCGGAGATAGGAGGGAGAGAAGGACAGGTCGAGGTGGATAGAGGTGCTGGCTCCGCGGCTGCATGTGTTGGCTCAAAGGGAAAAGAGCCATCGACCGCTTGCTCCCCCTGGGTGCAGTTGCCAACATAGGCCAAACAACATGAAGACAATCTGTGCGCTGATGCTGGTGGTCGCCAAGGCTTCCTGGGATAGCTGTTTCCTTGAGCATTTGTTTGGGAGTTCATCATCTATTGATAAGCTTAATGAACTTAAAGACACCAAAAGAATACAACAGATATAAAAGGTGATGATATGTGATGATATGTCATATGTCGTCTACCTTTCTCATCCTTTCTCCTTTTGATGCCTGATTTGCAATTCCCCCAGGCTTCCTTGGAGGATGAAGTGGCCATGCTAATGGCTGAGGTGAAAGCACAGAAAGAGATGATTCAAGAGCAACAAGCTATGATCGAAGAGCTTCAGCCCATCGGTCGGCAGCTTCAAACGGGCTGGGTGACCCAAGCAGAACTGACGGCCGCAGTGACTGCTTTGCAGAACACTGACTACAGCCTGGGAGGAGCCTTGGATTCAGCCTGGCTTTGCTTGTGTGGTGCATTGGTGATGTTCATGCATGCTGGCTTCGGCATGCTTGAGACGGGCAGCTGCCGTGCAAAGAATGCATCCAACGTGCTCATGAAGAACTTGGTGAACGTTTGCGTGGGCACTTTGGGGTGGTGGCTTTTTGGGTGGGCCTTTGCCTATGGTGCCCAGAATGGTCACTTGGATATATATTTGATATGGAAGCAGGTTCTTTTGCACATTTCCCCAACCCCAATCCAAGCTTGAGCAATGTTTTCGCATGGTGTTTGCACGTGTTGATTACATCAAAAGTTCAAACATTGGTGGATTGAGGCAACGGTTTCATTGGAACCACGGGCTTTGCCGGCTTCGACTTCTACACCCAAGATCAGACCACGGGTGTCATCACTCCAATGGCAAGCTGCGACGCAGATGGGTGCCAAAGCGTCATGCTAAGCTGGTTCTTTCAATGGGAGTCTCAGCCTGAAATTCGTTGTATATACGAATCATATGTCCAATGTAATTATGTGGGGGGCAAGTTTTAAACTTGTTTTGAGAGAGTGTTTGAGCCCACATGACTTTGACACGCAATGATCGTTCCCAGGCATTTTGCACTGCTGGTGCCACCATCGTCAGTGGTACAGTTGCTGAGCGTGTGAAGAGCCCCACATATGCGGTCTTTGCATTCTTGCTGCTGGGATTTGATACTCACTTTTTCAATCTTTTTCCTGTGGATCATGCTGGGTCATGGAAGGCTCACACACACATGTGATTCCGGTTGGAACCACAAAGGTAGCACGGAACGAACCCATCCAACCTATCCTAAAGGGCCGTCCCCGCCCTCGCTCTTTACCGGTGTCCTGCCCGAGTCCCCTCGTGCCTTGAGCCAACATTGGCGTGTCGAAATGCTCCGGTCGGATCGAACTGCACGAACTGCTGGTCTGATTCATGAGAAGGTGTTCACCTGAACTTCCATCAAATTCACGCACATCATATTATGTACATATATAAACACAGACAGTCAGTCACATGGTCGTCGCGTTCCAGACGCTGAAACCGGCTCTAAGGATGGCGAGCTTCATCTACCCAGTCATTGTGGCATGGTCTTGGGGTGGAGGCTGGATTGCCACTGTCCTCGATGTTGGCTACATGGATTTTGCGGGCAGTGGTGTGGTCCACCTGACAGGAGGAGTGGCTGGCTTGGCAGGAACCATTGTGCTTGGACCACGAGCGGGGCGCTTTACGAACCCTGATGAGTTTGAGTGCCACAACCTTCCTTTGGTGGTGCTGGGCACTTTCGCTTTGTGGTTCGGTTGGTATGGCTTCAACCCAGGTTCCACCCTTTCAATGCACGATGGAGCAACCGGTGCCATGGCAGCTCAGGTTCCTTGCAAGTGCTTGAGGTGACTTTTGTTTTCAGTTCCTGATCTATACTGATGACCGACACTAATGTTTACAGTGTTGCCCCGAATCCTTTGTACACGCAATTCCCAGGTTGCGATGAACACAACATTGTCTGCGGCTACTGGTGGAATCACTGTCTTCATCCTTCGCTACGCCATCACAAAGAAGTATGACGTTGGTGGCTTGTGCAATGGCATTCTTGCAGGTTTGGTCTCCATCACGGCAGGCTGCGGCAACATGGAATGCGGCAGTGCTTTTGCTACTGGATTGATTGGAGCATTTTTCTACCAAGGTTCTTCCATGCTCCTTCAAAAGCTGAAGATTGATGATCCAGTGGACGCCGCACCAGTTCACGGCTTTTGTGGCATTTGGGGTGTGTTGGCATGCGGCTTCTTTGATTGGGGAAAGGGTTTTGATCATTACCATGGCTGGAGGCTTTTCTGCAGATAGATGGCCATATAGAGTACAGGATAAAATGAACTTTGCCAAGCTTGGCTTATATTTCTAGTTTGCTTCAGCCTTGACTGCCGAGATCTAGCTTAATATCTACCGTCATCAGTTGACAGTGGGAGATCCAAAAGCACAATCCTTGAGCCATTCTGTCGCGTCAATGGAGCTTTGGCGTAGTTGAGGAGTGGTTTTGGATGCATGCCTGTCTCAACGACGGACTCCACTTGCCAGACCGGCATTGGGGGCAGTGCTATCGGAGCACAGTTCATCCTCATCATCATGGTGCGGGGCTCAACGGGAGACGAAAAAAGACCCGGCGCAATGAGACTTAAGACACAGATGAGAAAGAAACTGAAAGAAGACAACCCACTCTGCGCCGTGTTTTTGATGGTTTGGAAAAGGCATCCGAGGCTTCCTGTCCTATCCTAAGACAGCTACGTCAAGCAGTTTTTGGGACCAAGAGAGGGTTTGGCATGATTTTATTTTGCTAGATATATAGCTAGCTGGATGTCTCACCTTGTTTCGAGCCTTTCGTTTCGCAGGTCATCCTCTGGTCTGGCAGCCTCTCTGCTATCATCTTCCTGCTCTTGAAGCTCACTGGGGCTTTGCGGATCAGCGAGGAGGTGGAACAGGCAACCCGGGTAGGGATTTTGCTGCTGATCTATAGGACCCTTCTTCCGGTTGAAGGAATTGGAGGGTGTCCAGGTGGCAGCCTTGCTGTTCAAGCAATCAACGACGTTTTTTTCGGGCAGCCGAATGGGCACAGTCCTTTGAATTGCAGGATTCTCGCGTCTTCTTGCAAGGTTGCACGTGCAAATCTTTGCCAGTAGAAGAGTAGTGCGTGGCAGAGAGTTGACTTTCAGGGCGAAGAGTCAAGTCTTTCAGGGTTGTCGACTTGTTGCTAATGCTCTAATTGTCCGTGGCAGCCAGCTTCTCCTTCCCGCACGCCGCACGCACTGCCCAAAAGCACCAGGTGGGCATGGACTCTCATCACCATTCACCGACGAAGGTGGGAGGAATGGGTGTGGCGGAAGGTGGGTGGTGTGCAGCGAACGGCCGCAAGGCCCTCGGTGGACCGCCGTATCTCACTTGGATGGCATCCTTGTGATTTGTCTAACTTCGAAGGTATCAGGGTCGCTGAATGCAGCAGCATGCAGTGGTTTTCAGCATGGATGACCTTTCTATGATTGGCTGGTTGACGTCTAAAAGGGGACACCCACAAGTGCACGACATTGTACAACCAAATCAATGTGGACTGGAGGAATATGGTACCGGACACCGGGACCCACAAATCGTTCCAAGGGCGCAACCACCATTATTACCGGTGAATGGTCCGAGCTCGGGCATCCCCTTCCAAAGAGAGGTTTCTCTCTATAAAAGGCCTTTGCAAATGCTCCGGTCATCGTTTTGTTTGGGGTGCGCTCTTCACCTCCCTCCGGTTCCGGCACCACCGACTCTCGGAGACCCGTAGATGGGGGGCCCGGAGAGTCAGACCCCAAGCGTCTCGGAGGGCGCCATTGATGGGTGCCTCCCAAATTCCGCGAACCGTTCTCCAGATCGGTCGCCGGAATCCAACTACATCGGATGTCTTCCATCACCACGGAGGTGAGGTCCGACCGAGCCCGGACCGTGCCCGGACGGGATCACCGAGGCCTACTCCCTGAGCGATGCGAAGATCACCACGGAAACCACCACCATCGGAGTGGTGCCCTCTTCACCCAAAGACGCTTGGGGTGGCAAAGCCGATGCCTAATGGTGTAGGAGCTGTCCCACGTCGGTGCCTGAGGGCGCCTCGGACCTCTGACAGGCACCGTCAGGCACCCCCCCCTGTGTTTTTTTGGACGAGAGACAAGAGGGAAACGGCGAGTTCCCAACGTCGAGGGACATGGCCATAAGCTCGGCCCTCTGGGACGAGCTAACTCGACACCGAGTTCGTTGGTTTGTGGTGAGTCCAAACCACATCTGTTCTGGTCCAAGTCCAGGTGTCTTTCTTCCCTACCTCGATGTGTTGGAACACCTCCTGATGCCGCGCGTCCCAGGTGCCGGGGAGAGCAGGTGAGAACCTCTTCAACTGAGGATTGGAGGTTGGAAGGCTTCGATGCTTGGCGTGAGGAGGAAACGTCAAGAACTCAATGAAACAGAATGACTAAGTGGTGGTTTCAGATGTTTCAGATATATTCTTATGTTGAACCGGACCAGGATGAGCCTTAAAAGTTCCGAAGGAGTTGGAAGGACCCTGCTATGCCCTGCTTCTGGTACCTTCACACATTCGGTTTCAATTATTTTTTTTGACTGGACTAGACCTACGTAGGCATATGAAGCCCTATTCCCACCCTCCCACAGCGGTCAATGCACATTCTCTTGACATGTGGCTGCTAGGCTGGGATAGGTTGGGAAGATTCTTCCTTTACCCAGTGGGTGTCCAGCTAGATTTGCTTGGGTGGACATGTTCATGACTAGGAATGCTCGGGATCTAAAGACAACAAGGCTGACGAAACAACTTGATGGCGCGAAGGGGGGGCTGCAGCGGTTGTGAGTTTGGAATGCCCAGGATGGGTCGCTTTTTGTCGTCGAAAGAGTGGAGCTCTTTGTATCAGCGACCGAGCCTGGCGTGGGCAGTCTGACTGTCTTCCTGAAGAGTGCCTGGCCAGGTGATTGTCGAATTGCGGGGATGCTAGGCCTATTAGCCTAGCCCCCCCGCTGAGTTTAGGCTTTTCTTCAAGGGCCCGGAAGCACTGTGCATTAAAGTCAGGTGCACAGTTGGCATCTTCCTGGCCCTATCACAATGTCCAAGCCATTCAGGTGACAAAGTCATGTTGATGGCATGTACCCTTCCTACGACGCAAAAAGCAGTCCATTGACTGTCGACGGAGGTCCTCAGGTCGTCTCAACGTTGTGGTCCTGGATCCTGGACTCCTTCGAATATACGGGTTTCCTCCGTCCTCATTAGGTCTATTCGAGCCGAATGAGTGAGTGACACGCTTGTTTGTTCCAGAATTGATTTGGACAAATGCTCCAGGAAACCCATATAGTTTTGGGGTTGAATACAGTTTCCTGCAGATCTTCCCTCAAAGCCATCCATCGATTTCGGGCGGGGTCTTTCTGTCAGGCCGAGCGTGCTCCGACCGAGCCTCCAAACGCGTGGGGGTGCCTGGACACACCTGGAACCAGAACTGAGTGACACCTGCCCCATGCTTCAGTCCAAGCGAAATCATCCAGACTTCCCCATCTGTAGTGCCTGTGGTGCATCAGGTGTTCAAAGGCTCTGATGGGACCACTCCCTGTTTCTTTGGATTTGGTGCTGACCAAGCCCGCCACACGACATTGTTTCTTAAAAGGAGATACATGTCTTCCAAGCGGCTTGGTTCATGACGCAGCTTTCTTTGCGGTCGCGTCGCCTTAGCCTCCCTTGAGTATTGAGGCTCGGCAGAGGCGGCGGTGGATACGGTGGAGAAAGACGCGGCACCGAAGGATGGGGCAGAGGAGACACCACAGGAGCCCGGTGGTGAGGGACTTCACTTGGCTCTGTCTTTATTTATATAAGGAACGGTATGTATGCTAGAAAGGCACGTGTTATTTGTCATTTTAACTTCCCGTTGGCTGGCCTGGTGGATTTTCAAGGGAGGGCGATTGAAAAAGCGGTGAGGCCCGGTTTGGGGAGCCAAAGGTCTGTGAGAGTAAGGTACCGTAGCATTCCCAAATAACTATTATATATATATATATATGGACTACTATCTAGATTAGACTTTGGACTTTCTACTTTATCACAACATTATCCACGATATCTATCGTTATTGTATGCTCTTCCGTGCTTCGGGCTGTGACTTTTTTCGTCTCGCGCTCTCTCTCTCTCTCTCTCCCTCCTTCAGCTTGAGGAACAGCTGCGGCCCTTTGCTCTCCTTCCCTGCAGGAGGAGCCAGCTGTCCCACTGGAAGGCCGTGCCGAGACAGCGAAAACACGGGACTCCCAGGGGCCCGATCCCCGTGTCTTTGGTCTTTGGAGATGACCGACGCTTCGCGAGGTCAGGCGCAGACTCCTCTCGCAACCCAGCACCTGAATCCCGGTCGCGCGACGCAGAGAATCAACGCAACGAGTGGTTCCGCCCCCAAGATCCGTGAAATATCGATGTTTCCATGTGGCTGTGGGCCCACTGAGTCCAAGCCCGGACGCGTGCATCAGGTTCGGTGACCATCGTCCGGTGCTTGGAGACCTTTGAAGAGCGTCAAGGGAGACTTCTTGTAGGATCCCCACATAGGCAGAACAGTGTTTGATAAGAATTTTTGGCATGCAATGTATATACTTGGCAAACTTGCCACATGTCCGGATCACTATCTCTGAGGATTGATGTTCTCGGAGCGTATTGATTCACCGAATTCTGCCGGTCTACTTGTAGGGTCTGCAGAAATCCGAATGGGTTTGGAGATGGGCAACAGCAAGCAAGGTGCGAGTATGATCATTGGTCAACGTACCCAGAACGTTGACCAATCCCAGGTGAAACAGAGCATCCGATGCAGCTGGTGCGGTTTTTTCTCCTCACATCGCAAAACTCTGTTAGTTCATGTTAGTTCTTTGCTTGCCCTTCCCATCGAAACGAGGTGTCTCTCATCCTGAGGTTCAAGGTGCCAGCCGCACGCGAGTGCCCTGGGCGCCAGAGGAGAGCTGTCGGCAGCTGCGCGCGCGCGGGGGAGCTCGGTCCCCGAGGTTTCTCCAGGTCCGCGGGACCCACAAATCACTTCTCCAGCGATCCACATGGCAAACTAAAAAATGGCACGTGATTCAATAGAGGTTCCAGGCTAATTTTGAGAAGACACCCACATCAATTGATAGCAATCGAATCATATCAGAAAATCGCCATGTGAATAGTTCCTCCCCCAGGTCGACGCGTGAAGTTGGAGTGTGTAAAGACCTCAAGACAATGACTGAGATTCATGTACTGTATGCACACCACCTACTGTATATCTGAAAATTCCAACTGATCGCCCGGGTACACCCTGGAAGACTAACATGGACCCTGAAAACCACTGGTTGGTAGAGGAAAACACTCTTGCAGGGAGCCATTGTCAGGTCTATGTTAGTTCTCGGGAGTGTATATACATGGCTTTTTGGTTTCTCAGACTGAGGCATCGAGGACTCCACCGGCATCCCTGCAGCCAAGCAGCAGTTGAAGCTGGTGGGCTGCCTAGTGTGAGTCGGAGGGTGGTACGTTTTGGAGGCTTGTGGAGGGGAACCAGGAAAGGGATGGAAAGGGAACAAAGATAACAAAGACGGAGTCCTGGTCAAATCCTGAATGGCATAATGCTACCATTTTTCGAGCCCAAGAGTTGAGGCGTGGGCCTCACCGGGGGGAGGAAAGAAAGCTTATTGGTCGATGTCCCGGACGCGAACGTTCGAAGACCAACAAACCAACGAAAAACCGAGGTCAATCAGGAGTTCTTGGCCGAGGGCGACGAAACACAAGCATCCTACGAGGCCGGCCGGACCGGACCGGTCCTGGGTGCGGTCCTGGTGATCCGGATGATACGAGACACCCCACCCAGGACCCAAACCCGAACTGGAAGCGGTGGAAGGACCGAACTGGCATGTGATAAGAGCGGTGGAAGGACCGAAATGAGGTCCTGTGACACCAGTGGAAACCAGTCGAAACCTGTCGAAACTGCAGTGTGGCCTTCTGGGTTGTGACCTGCAGCAACCTCTAGGTGGAAGATGCAACATATGCAATGCAGCGATGCAAATGTCGGCTCAAATGTGTTACCGTTTTGCGTCCCACGCCGCTGTGACAGAGTGAAAGGGTCACGCGAGCGCCTTGGAGCTAGAGGTCTAGGATGATCTTACCATGTCTTACAGATGAACCGTATACCTTTCCACCATTTTTTTAAACAAACTATTTATTTCTCCGGCAGGTGGTCGAATCTGACCACCCGTCCCTTCCCACCCATCCCAGGGCCAAGGGATTGGCCGTGGGCGGTGGATGGTCCGCCGCTGGTCTCGGTCTAGTCGAGCTTGCCGGGGATGAAGGCAGCCGAGGGCAGGATTCCGAGGGTAGATCGATGCCACAGCAGAAGAGGCTTGCCATAGTGTTTCAAGAATGGGATTTCACACAAGACCATGCCCCAAAAAGTCGCTGATGGCTTTCAAGAGGAACGCCCCCGTGGCATCCCGCTGTATAAAGGTCAAAACGAAGTTCTCACCGCCACCCAACCCCCGATGTTCCGCCACATGGCCCTGGTGTCCATGTGGCGCTCTCACCTCTCGCGCTCTCACCCTTCCCATCCCAGTCGGCCGGAAAGATTAAGACGCGGGGGGCCCAGGGCGGCGACCAGTGTTCCAGGACCGTGGCCGGTTCAGGTGTCGAATGGGACGAACAGAGCACAGCTGGGCGGAACCTGCGCACCTGCCCCGGACATCCAGGACATATCGGACTTGGAGGGTGGACTGGACTCTCTCACAGGCTCATGGAACTGGATGACATTGATGGACCCTGGGTGAACGTGGGTGAAGCCCGAGCCTTGAATAGCCTTGAGACGTCTCAGTGGGAATCACGAACATTTGAGACCAGTGGGATGGGACACCCTGTCTTTTTCTACTCCTCGTGTCGGGGTTCTCCACACATCTTCACCGACTCAGGACAAGTGTGGGGGATTGGTTGCCTCACTGAACAAGAAAAGGTTGAAAAAGATGGAAAGAGGATCTTAAAGGTATAGCCTAGCCTTTCTTTTCCAAGGACACTCGTCAGCGTCCGATATCTTCAGACATTCCACCTACCTTTGACTCCTGTAGGGCCTACCCTTCCAGCTCAGCTTCGGCGGCTGAGGATCTGGTTGGAAGACTTGCGCACGCCAGGGGACCGCCCGTGGGCTTGGGCCGTTTCTGCCGCCAACACGCGTCAGTGAAGACCCTTGGAATTCTTATACTCTGCATCAACCAGAGGGTCCATGTTTATGGTGTTAGTTATCGTACGGGCGATGACGGAAAGCGCTGTAGCGCTTGGAAGTATTACCGAAAGGGAAGGGGGGGGTGGGCGGGGGGCCAAGCTGACCGTGGAGGCTTTTTTTTGGCATGTTCGAAGGTGCAAAAAACACTGTAATTTACAGTAAAAAGTTGCTTTGGGTGGGTTTGTGTTGAGCTTATTTGCCCTCAAAAAGTTGCACTTTTACCTGCACCGGAGGCAATTTTTGAGGTTTTTATTGTTTTCCGGCATTCAAAGGCTTTGAAGGGCAATGTGCATAAAACACTGGTAAAAACCATGAAAAATGAGGTCTGACAAGTGTAAGGAAGACGTTTTTGAGAGCTTCTAATTTGTGTTTCGTTTGTGTATGAAAGCTTGCTCCGGACGAACACACCCAGGATGTCAATAATGCAGTCTGCCCCAGGCGGCATAGCCAGAATCGCGAACGTTTGGACAAGTGTAAGGAAGGTGTTTTTGAGAGCTTTCGTTTGCTTATGAAAGCTTGCTCCAGTGCCCTTGGGCAGGTTGTCTTTTGCATAGTAGTGTGCACAAAACACCATAAACACTATGGAAAACGAGGTCCGACAAGTGCAAGAAAGGTAGTTTTGACAGTTTTGTTTGTCGTTTTTGTTGCTTACGCAAGCTTGCTCCAATGGGCGGTCAAATTTGGGCATGTTTGTGCCAATCTTCGGCGATCTTGGTGCATTCTCTCCTCCATGTTGGCACGTTTCGCCAAATGTTGGGGCTCTGGCTCTCTTGAGGCTTCTCGTGGGGGTATGTTGGAGGTGATTGCTATGCTGAAGGTTTTGCTACTGTTATTTTACTTTTTTTGCGGTAAAAACCATGACAGACTTAGGTCCGACAAGTATAAGGTTACTTTTTGTTGAGGCATGGTTGTTTTGCTGCCAGTCTGCGGCTATCTTGGGGCATCTCCCTTATCATATTGGCAATTTTCACCCATTGTTCACAAAACATGTTGTGGGCTCTGTTGGGGATGTGGGGCTCCTGCTCCGCTTTCCGTGTTTTTCCGAACTGGTTTGCAGATCCAGGAGGGGGGTGGATGAGAACATGATATGAGAACCCTGACCGACAAGAACTTACAACATGTGCCTTGCCCTGGTTCCGCCCTAAATCACCAAAGGTAGCTTGAGCTACCTGAGTTCTCCTTGCTTTAGCAAACATGTATTACAATCAGGAGTTGGGATTGTGCATTGAGTTTGGTCCTGTAAGAGATGATTCTGTTCGTCGGGCCCTCCCCCTGTTTCTTGTTTTTGGGCCCCCCATTCGCTGTTGCTTCATGTGGTTTATGTTGTATGTATGCTCTTACGCAATGCATACGACCGGCCATAATATTTGGCTCAAGGTACATCTTGTGCGATACAAAAAGCCGCTGCTCGCCTTCGCTCGCACCGCTCTTGTGAGGTTGCTAGGCTGTAAGCTAGATCCAGGTCGATACTGAGGACTGTACGCTCCACTGCGGGCGGTTCCACCCTCAAAGTGGTAGCGGAGCTTCGTTGCTCCAGAAATCCCGAACTACCGGGCGTGCTGAGCGATAGCGAGAGTTCAGAAGAAGGCCATGAATCAGCCCAGACACCAACAAGCCCTGAGACCGCTCTAGCGGCAGGGCATCGTAGGCCAGATGCGTGCGCAGCACAGGTTCCCGAAGCTTCTCAACTTAGGATGACTCCGAAGATTGCACCGACTTTCGATGGTTTAACATCCTCGTTTGAGTATGAAGATTGCATAGATAACTGGTTGAACCTGACAACATTGACTCCTCGCAAGCACGGTCCTAGCTTGAAGAACAGTCTTGTAGGTGCAGCCGCACACTATAAAGGCATGCTAGAGAACCGGTCTTGCTCGCAGATGCAGGTTATGGAGTTGACTATTTGAAACGAACACTTCGTCCATTCTTCATCAAGGACAATCAACATGTGTTTCTGAGTAGGTCACTTGGAGGGGTGTTTTTGAAATCACCATGAGACGTTTGCAAAACGCATGGATGGACCTCTACCGAGACCTCCCGGCACCACAATCAGTCGAGTTCACTAACACATTGACTGCACAGCAGCGTGCTGAAATCGCAGCGATGGATGCAGAAGATAGACCCGATGCTGTGCAAGAATTTTGGAATCAGAGAACAGAAGCCGCCAGACAAGCGCATCAAGTCGCATTCCCATTACCTGGGAATTTGATTGCCATGATATTCATTGTGCAGGCAGATTTGAATGAGCAACAGCGACAACCCCTAGTATCAGCAATAAGTGCACAAAACATTCCAATGGAAAACTGCGAGAATCAGGCAGTCAAGACACAGTTTCTACAACTTTCCTCTGTAAGTAGAACCAGCATGTTTGAAGACTTTTATGCTCGTAGAAACATTGGGCCTATTGCACTAGGACCACGAACACCATGGCCTTACAAGAAACCGGTAACATTGATGGTGAATTCTTTGGCAGACGATCCCGCACTAGCGGATGTCACTTATCGACAATTGGTCCGTCAAGCTTGTCTTGCTAGGAATTCCTCCGTTACGTACGGTGGTGTGACTCCACTAGAGATGGCATTTACTCGTAGGCTGCAGGCATCCTGAACTTAGAGACTGCTACTCCTTCTCAGTTAACTTCCGATGTTCCGACACCACAGAAGAAGATAGAAGCAGTTAGGATGCTTGCAACCAAGGCCTATCTAGAGGCAAAACAAGCAGATGATGTCAGACGTGACTTAAGTGCTAAACTCAACATGTCTTCAGGTTCTTTTTGTTCCAGGTGGCAAGATATATTATTACTGGGCCGAAGACAAGCAAGATCATGTCAGATGGTAGTCGTGTTGGTAAGTGGATTATATAAAGGGAAACTACTTACCATAGAAGGCTCCATGGCAGGCATCGACCTTGGCACTCGCAAAGTCCGTACCAATGTGTCAAAGATAAGAAAGGATTTTAATCCGATAGAAGATGTTAGCATTGGAGCCTATTCAACCAGCACCACCTGCACCTCCAATGCCACCTGGACCAGCACCAACTGTTCCACACACTGGTCCACAGACTTTTGATATTTCAACACCACCGGCATCCGACTATGAGATGCCAAGCACGCCACCACCTCATCCACCCACCGGTTGCCAGTGCCACTCAAGACAAAAAGAATGGCCAGAGGGTGAAACCTGTTCAGCGTCTGCAGTCATCAGAATGCCTGAAGCATGCCGACCGTCGGAAAGGTCGAGTGGGATGTCGGCATACCGGCATCATCTTCATCCGGTGCACCATTCATCTGATCCATATCAGCATCTTCATTCGGATCAGGTGCTAGACCAGGATGTGGAGGCTGTCCTGGTGGACCATCGAGGTCCATTGTCACTGGGTTGTGGGCTGGCGCCTGTGGTCGTGGAGGCATCTTGCAACTATCATTCCAGTAAAATACTGTCATCCAGTGCTGTGGATTGAGCTTGTCCAAAGCCACTCATTGATGATCCATTACATAGATCTTGGAGAAGTTGTTCTTGTTCCACATAAGAACTACACCAGGCTTGTTCTTGTACACTGGTTCGAAGGTGACCAAATGTACCTTCCTCGCGCGATACTAAGATAGGAGAGGTGCATAAACAAACGGAGAAGTCCAAAATCAAAAATTCAGGACAAGCGATGGCCTCCAACCTGTTATAGCGATGGCCTCCAACACATGGAGCCACTGTTCCCACAGGCCGTTGATGTGAAAACTGCGGCAGTTCGCAGAGCGAGCTGTGTGTTTGCTGAGCCAGGAAGAGCCAAAGTCACTCGAAGGCGAAGCGGCAATCGCTTCAATCCAGAAAACAGGAAGCCAGAAATCTAGGAAGCCAGTTTTAAGCAAACCAACTGATCACAGAAGAGACCTGCGTTCCGAAAACGCTCCAATTACACACGGCGGAAGAAACATACCGCTGTGATTGAAAGCAAGGCAAGGTAGAGGACGCTCTAGGAGCAAAGGGCATCGGTACTAGGAACAAAGACGCTACTAGGGGCTCCCGGCCTTACTACTAGGAACAAGAACGCTACTACGAGCCTTTTCGCACGCGCGCGCGCGCAATCAGCAAGGTGTGTTCCTTTCTTGTCTATGCGCTGACAAATTGAAGCAAGTTAAAGACTAAAGAATGCCGACCTTGGGTGTTTAGGTCACAGGAGTTCAAACACCTTTGTTTTTGTTGCGTCAAAACAACCTGTTGGTTACAGCCCGCAACTATATGCAGAGGAACTCACGCACCCGCTCAAAGACAGGGATGCAGCAACGTGCGGGCAGGTATCGAACAGATACCTCAAAAGGCCGACCTCAGTGCTCAGGAACGTTCCAGATCGGAACGTGGTCGGTCACAACCCGCGGATCACCATGGACTCGCAAAGACGATCCCCGTGACGCTCACTAAGAGCCGGGTGGAAGCTTTTCATTCGAGTTTCGGCACTTGCATTTTCGTTCGATTCTGAGAGTGGCATGCGCTGACCGCTCTAGTGGTTGATTCGTTTCGTTCCGCTAGATTATGTGTACAGATGCCTCAAGCTCCTTTCTTTGTACACAGTACTGACTGATCGGCATGCTACAGAGGAAAGAAAATTTGTGTCTGTTTTGTTTTTGGGCCCCCATCGTCGCTGTTGCTTCATGTGGTTTATGTTAGTATGCTCTTACTCAATGCATGCGACCGGCCATATTATTTGGCTCAAGGTACATCTTGTGCGATACAAAAAGCCGCTGCTCGCCTTCGCTCGCGCCGCTCTTGTCATTGTTGGGCTGTAAGCTAGATCCAGGTCGATACTGAGGACTGTACGCTCGACTGCGGGGGATTCCGCCCTCACCCCCTGGATCAAATCCCCCCTGCGCCGGTTCACGCCGCCGTGGACTTCTACCAGGGTTGCTTGTGATGCCTTCAAGCATGCCTTGGCTAAGACAAAAAAGAGCATTTTTTTCGCCAGGAGAGGGGCGAAGAAGAGAAGACCTTCATCGATGAATTGAAGCAGTGCCATTCTTAGGCCCGACGGAGGTCAGAGCAGCCCCGTGCGGGAAGACCAGATCATTCCGGGAATCCTACGGAAAGAGTTTGGGCAACTGACTGTGTGCCAGAGCTAGGGAAGGTACAATGATACCGATCATAATCAAATCTCAAAAGACCTCAAAAAGTTATTACATAGGTTTTTATAGACCATATTAGTTAGACCATTGTGTCTTGGGGCCAGTAAACCGCTGCATCATCTTACCGGTTGCCTTCGTGGACACCGGCCGAGGCTTTGGAAGTTGGACAACGTCACCGTGGTGAGCCCGGCAGCTCGGGGCGCCGATCCTCGGGGAGTTCCACCGGGGGGGGTGGAAACACAGCCTCTTCTGCCCGAAGGTGACGCACACCTTAATGCAATATAGTCGGACTTATAGTACTAGAATCAGCACAGAGCCATATTCACTGAGGGAACTCTTTCGGTGGTCCACTCATTGAAGCAGCTGCAACTCACCACGACAGGTTGGGCGTCTCTTGAATCCTGAGGTTTGGCGCTAGTGGCCTACACCTTCTTCAAGGAGACCGTCATTTTCCGTGTCCAGCTGACCGCCCCACGCACTCGTCGCGTCAGTCTCACCTGCGCGACCGGCCGATTCCGGAACGCGCGTCGCAGACTGCACGAGCTCGGACCACCACGTGACCTCCCCAGAGTTTCCAAGTTCCGATGGTGAACATTGGAAACGTTGGGGGGGGGGGGCCTTTGGGTTTCAAACCATGTTCCTCAAGCGGTGAGTTGTGTGCTGGAAATCGGGTTCAATATGGTTCAATGGATTTTACTGGGGCGCCAGCGGTTTCAAAGGAATGACATTACCAGAGCTACTGATGGTCTCGGACATCTCCAGAAGACCTGCAGGAGCTGTTGCCGCTCTTCATCGAAGGAGTGAACAATCCCTTGGCGGATCTGCCCTGGCAACCAGGGCCCATCGACACCAATCCGCCCTCTCCTATTTAAGGCCCAGGCGCTTGGAGTTCTGCCCATAGAAACATACTGAAACCACTCACCTTGCCGGAAGATGGTTGCCCTCTCCATGACGGCTGGGTGTTTTCTTATGTTTTCTTTGGGGGTTCCCGACAGCTCGGATAATCCTTGGGGGTTCAGAGGGGTGCTGCTTCTGTCCTTCGCGGTCACCAACGAAGTCATGGGCAGTGGCCGATCCGGACCGTCCACCTCCACGCCTTTCGGCCGAAAGAAATGGGGAGGGTCCCAAGCCCGCTCAGTTCATTTGAAGGTTCATTGTCGCAGCTGGCCGGTCGGTCTCTCCACTCACCCTGGATCGGGGGAGAGGTTTAAGCAAGATCAGAGCGAGATTTGATGTGGATCATGCTTACAGTTTGTGGCATATGGTAGAAATGTCCTCCGGTTGTTACGTATGCCAAGGTTCCCAAGCTTTTTATATATTTCCAAGGTTTGGAATAGACGCCCTGGTCCACTGTCAATGATTGCTTGCCCTGTCCACGAGCCCTCTCTTCGAGACACCGAGAGTTTGCGGAGGAAAAGGTGCTGTTTGTGCTGTGGTTGCGATGTGAGGGGCGCAATCGAAGACCGCCTGACACCTATAAGATATTATTTATATATACCCATCTCAGTACCCATCTCCATTGTAATTGTTTCCATGTTGTTTCCAAGAGCGATGTTCTTTTTTGTCGCCGGCTTTTCGTATCCCACATATGATTTCTCAAGCTAAGGATGCTGGAATTTCACGGGGGTTCTGGACCAATCGCGAATAATCCCGGTGATTCCGTCTATGTTACTACCTTTGTCTCCTGCCACGTCTCGCGGGTACCACGACGTGGGCTGTGGTGATGGACTGGGGGACGAGTCTGAGGGAGTTTAGGTACCCCTTTTGGCCTTCCGGTCCAAGGCCATTGAACAAAGGAAAGACCTGGTTTTGTGGTGAAGTGTTAAAATCCTGAGCAAAACAATGTAAGGTTCTTTCGGTACAATTGAAAGACCTCTATAGTCTATAGCAATGGCGGGCGACGCACGCATCCTAGGGTTACTTGGGCTCTTTGCCGGGAATCCAGCACCGCTTCCCTGAAAGAAAACATGAGGGTAAAAAACAAGTCGTTGATCATTGTCCGCTGTTCTTCGCTCAAAGGGGAGGCTCATGACTTTGTTGGTCCAGAATCCGTCACACGACTTGTCGGGGGCTATATGCGCTCTTACCAACAGTCCAGGTGCCAAGGACCAGATCGAAGTGGACCACCACAACTTGTGCATACTGCATACTTGTGCTTTCCAAAGATCTTCCCGGTCAAGACAGCCATCTGAGGGATTTGCCGTGAATCCATGTCAATCCGACATGTATGCATTGACTTGCTCCATTTTTTCGACGAAAGTACTGCCGTATACGTCCGGATGTTGGGACATCTTTTTCTCTTGTAGAGGGAGAGGAACGGTGGGATAAACGTGGAAATAAAGGTGGTTCGAATTTGGGAAGGTGATAGATCTCAGTTGCAGACATTGCACTTCGAGTTTCAGAGAATTAGCCAGTGACGAGATGCTGGATAGGGGTGCCCCTAGGGGGCAGATACCGTTGAGGTGCCAAGCTCATGGTTTGCGCTTGGTAGTGGCGCTTTAGTTTTGTTTTTTGTTGCCATTGGGGTTTGCCCACTACGTTTTTTCAATTTTCTCTTTGCCCAGCTTTAAAAGAGGGCCTTCCAACAAGATTGTAGAAGCACTCCAGAGAGCCAGCGCCCCTGGATGCCGTTTTTTCTACGCCATGAACCTTTGAAGAGTTCTCCCGCGAGGCGCTGGATGGACTTAAGAGCAGAAGAGATCCAAGTCTTGGATGGAAGCAGGTAACACAGTGGAACCACACGACTCCAGGTTCTGGGACGAGCACTCGCTTGTGCACTGAGCAAAATACTCGCACAAGTGCACTGGAAATGGACCATGCTTGAGTACCATATATTTGGTGAAGCAACGGTGCGTTTTGGGTGACACATTTCAATGGGGTGTTTCCTAACATTTCCAGTGCAGGTGCGTGTTGTTAGACTATACTTGGTACGGCAACGGTACGTTGCATGGGGTGTTCCGAACACAATTGAATGGTCGGATTCCTCGAACCATGGTCACATAAGGCTATTGCTCAGAGACGGTTTCGACCCGCAGCGTTCTCCACCGGCTGTCAGAGGTCGAAGCACGGTATTGCTCAAAGAACCACCAAACACACAAAACAAACACACAAAGAGACAAGTCTCACCACACTAAACAAAGACGCACCCCCCCACCCAATAGATTGTTGGGTGGTTGTAGATTGCCTGTTGCCACCCTGCCCCCCACCCCCCATTAGATTGTTTGGTGGTTGAGTCTCCTTTCACCTTCTCCCCCACTCCCCCCAGCCATTGGATTGTTTGGTGGTTGAATGTCCTTTCACCTTCTCCCCTCTGAAAGTGCGCAAGTGAGTGCTCGGTGCGCAAGTGAGGTCAAGTGCGCAAGTGAAATTTTTTCCAGTGCGCAAGTGAGTGCTGGGCCTTTCAGGTGGTCGCGGAGTAATTTTCGGCGATCTCTTTGCATCCCACCACTTGGCTCAAATCCGTTGCTTATAGGCCTGTGCCAGTTAAACCGCGCGAGCCGGGGGGGTGAACCTTCTGTGGCGAGATCCCACGGATCGTTGAACAGATCCGACGCGTTCATGGCGATGATGAAAGTCACGCTCTTGGGACTCTTGGGGCTTTCTGCGCAGCTGGCCATGTCTGAGAATGCGACGGCGAGCTCGAACACCAGTGCGGCCACCGTCTTGAGTGAAGGCAGTGAATCCACGCGGGGTTGAAACGAAGCAAAGAAGGATCGGAGCTGGATCTTGAGCTAAGAGTTGATGACCTGTTGTGCTTGGGGGTGGGAGGATGGGAGATGACGGGAGGATTCCAGTTGTTAAGATAGGCATGATCTGCCTGACATTGTGAGACAGCCTTCATTGATGAGGTGCATGTTCCTCAAATTTCATACCTCCAGCCTCATTGAACAATGGGTTAGTTGGACACGCACAATGAAACACACCTGTTCTAGTCCCCAACATGTTCGGTCAGGTCGGAATGGTGTTCTCTTCGAATCCCTTTTTGGATCTTTCAGACGACTTATACATATGTAATATGTTGTTATGTTGTTGAGTGGTTTGGAATTACAACGAGTTACACAAAAGACCACAAAAATAATGAGGTGTCAGGACTCCTCGCAGCTCCACCATACTCCCCTGAATTGCTTTGGGTGATCTGATGCTATTTCTTTCTTTTGTCAAAAATTATTTGGCAGGGACGGGAGGATGAAATGTGCCCACAGAGGTTCAAACCCACTCTTGTTATCCTCCCTGCATGGTCCAACAATAGTTACACTGTGTTACTATACCACGAATTGGACCATTAGTCATGTCCCATTTGCCTCGCACACCGCGTGTTTTCGCGTGTGCGCGCGTCAGTCTTTGCGCATCCGGCTACGCCTGCCCGCCTGCCCCGTTGGTGTTCAGGCCTCAAGGTCCGCAGCCTGCCGAGCGTGGTGACGATCCTTCACCTCAGTGACACGCACAGCCTGCACCGGTCCACTGGGAACCTGCCAGATGCAGTGACCCGGCAGGTCCGCACCCGAGCCGGTGCTGTGTCCACACCTGGCGTGCAGCGTTGACCGGTGCGGTGCTGTGTGTTCGTGTGAACGCCGGAACGGATGGATTGCGGGGGTGAGATGTTTCAAGTATCACAGAGGTTGGTGAAAGCGATGGCAAGATGCAGCATGGTTTATTTTCCTTTTGTGGGATATTCCTGTTTGATGATGGTTCCATTGCCGCTTCCATGGAACCAAGCCTCCAGTTGCTTGTTTGAAGATGATGTGTTTTTGTTGGACAGGATCTTGACCCAGCACCATACCCAATTTGAGCGAATTCACTAGGCTTCTCAGGAAAACAAGGTCATGTTTGCAGCCTACGCCTCGTTTGCAATTATTTCTACCCAACCCCGTGACTTTCACATCGAAATTCCCAGAATTCCCCGGTTGGTTTGGCGGTCTATTTAAAGTAAAGGCTGTTGGATTTTGCCCAACAACGGTGTTGGAACCACATCATCAGGGCGCACAAGCAAGTGTACCCGTGCCCGCTTGTGCCTGCGTGTTTTCAGTGAGGACATCTTCATTCACTCTGGGGATGTGGCCAAAGTGGGAAATGATGGCGAGTTGGGGGATTTCAATCACTGGCTGGGCACCATCAAGCACAAGTACAAGCACATGTTCATCATTGCAGGACCGGCTGGTGGACGGAATCCCGCTGGCTCGGGTGTTCACCAGATGAGGTGGAGTCCATTCAGTTTGCATGAGTGCAAAAGTGGTTTTGGATGGTTGAATGTAGGAGTCATTTTGGTTTCATGTTTCAGGAAGCAGGGGGTGTTTGCATCATGGTATGCTTGTGAGCCAACCCCAAAATGTATGAACTTGGCTGAACTTCGAGTCTTAACTGTTCTCAAAAAGTCCTTGGACATTCTCCAACCTTCAGGCCCCACCAACTGCTACTTGTAGCTAAACGCTATGCCCAATGGCAATGCATTCATTGGTTACGGAGAGGAAAACCTAGTGAGCTAGGGGAACAAGCAGGAACTAACATAAACCAACTTTTCTGGAGTTCTTCACCGTAACTCGCCGCCGCAGGAAACCATGACTATTGGGACACCAACTGGCGCCTGAATCGTGGTTGGGTCAGTGAAGCAGAGGCCTCCAACCCCAACTACTTTCAAAGTGCCTCGGGCGGAACCAGTCACACCTGGAGCCTGGAATTATGGACGCAAAAAAGGGCCATCCGCAGGCATGTCACCTGATTAACATGTCTTACCGCAACGATTCAGTTCCAGACTTTGAGTTTTGTTTGGGGGTAGTTTCTTCATGTTGTAGAGATCAATCCCGCCCGTTGTTCTTTTTGGGTCGAAGATTCTTCGACACCACCCAGGGCAATTCATGCTGCCTGAAGACCCCCTGGCTGGTGGCGCATAGAACATCGGAACGGCGGTGCATGTCCACCACTGGCCGCCGAGGTAGCGTTGTTGGATATGAACCTAGAAGACGTCACGGCCAAACGATGTAGCCGCCTTGTTCGTTCGGAGTCGATTCCACGGTGTGGTGTTCTAGGTCGGTGCAAGTCCAACAAACGGTGGTTCCCGCGCCGCTTGTGTTGGACTTGCTTGGCCCCCGCACGTCCTGCAGCGGGCTTCGGTCCAAGGCAAGATCACCAATGCCAAAGTTCTGAATCACGAGATGGCCGAGGCCCGGATTACGAAGCGCGAAGCGCTTGGGTGGGCGCTCAATCGCTTGAAACGAAGTGCACTCCCTGAAATAATAATGCATGCAGTTTCCTGGATGGGAAAATGGTGGAAAGGATGCCGTTTGCACTCCACGAAGACATGATTAGTTCAGGGCGTATTTGAGTGTATAGATGCTTAGACTTGAGATCCATTCTAGAGTCTAGAGCACCTTTGACTTCAGGGGGTTTCTCACAGGTTTATCATGACGTTTCATGACTTCTCTTGCGAATTTGGATGTGGGTGTTTGCCCCCTACAATGTGGTGCCGTGGGTGATGAATGGGTCTCAGAATTACCCTACAGAAACCACAACCTATCAGCAAACACATATAGACTCATATTCCTGGGATTCCACCGGGCTTTCCAGTCACTTCCGCCCGAATCTTCCCCAATTCTCCCCCACCAGGTCATGGGCCTGAAGATTTGGGGCGCCGGCTGGCATGCCCGCCGCGGCGACAGCCGCTCCGGCAACAACTACGGCGACCTCCCAGCAGGCGCGGATGGTAGGTGGAGCCTTTTTGGTTCCTAGGTGACGCAGAAGCAGACAATAGCAGCTGCATGGTTGTAGGCAGACTGAGACTGAATTCAGCATGTTCGGGTGCTTCATGCTTCGTTTCATTTGAACTCAACGCTCGTGGCTCGCCACACTGTGAGGCATTGACATTTTGGTGACGCACGATGCGCCCTTCGGGATTTTCGACATGCTGCTTGGGCTGCCCTGTTTTGGAGTCTGGGAAAACGGAGGAAAAAGCTCGTCTCGCCGAGGGATGCAGTCCGATGCTGACCCTCCGACCGGGGTCTCTAGTTTGGAACATGATTAGAACACCTGGGTTGGGAACACCATGAAAACAAGTGCTATCCATTTGTCCTTTGGCCAAGGTTTTCCATTAGGACCCCAAATTCGAGGGCAGAGTTGGAGCTCTCTTCGTACAAGCATGTCACGTGCTTGTCTCCACAACATTTCTCGTTTGGGGAGGGTTGAGCCATCCATTGGGATACGAATGATGTTGACCGACCCACGAAAAAGTGACGATGTGAGGAAGGACAGAAGGGAAGGTGTGGCCCTGCGACTCGCCTGCGACATATGATCATTATGCAGAATTGTACATGGTGATCTTACATCATCTAATTGAATGGATTCCATTTGCGAATCGCCCACCCAGCTGTAGATCCTTCGTCTTTGGGATCCCACCTCCCGATACCTCCCGCGACCAGCGGGCGCGACCAGCGACGGTACGCGGTGCGCGAAGAGTCGATCGGAGCTCTGAGCTCTTCGGAGACTTCCAACGAGTCGCCGGGTCCCAACGACGCACCGACAGAACCCAGACATGACCTCTGTTCTGATAGGAAGTTTGGTTTTTCTCCGGTACCCCCCTATGGGGAAGGACTGTGAGGTGAGTTCGGATTGGATCGCAAGGAGTGTGTGATAGGAAGTTTGGCCATATTTTGGGTGGTTGGTGGTTTCTACATAGAGGTCACGACCCGGTTCTAGGCAGAGAGTGCCCGAAGTCCTTTCCCACTCTCAGGACGGGTGGTGGGCACTGGGGCTCCACCCACGCACTCTTGGACGCCATCTACCGTGCCAAGCCGAAGGCGGACCCGAAACAAACACGAACACCGCGAGCGCGTTTGGATGCATTGGCTCGGATGATAGACAGCCGTGGGTCCAGGCCTAGCCCAAGAAGAAAGATGGCTTCGAGCCTCGCAAGTACGGCAAGTAGGACTCTGTTCTTTCGATGTGTTCCTAACGATTGGAAACAACACAACAGTGTGCAGAACAGTGGATTGTGTCCATGGCTTTTCTCTGGGGGTCTTAACTCATCAGGCGACTGCACCGACATGCACAGTTCCTGCGTCCATCGATCGGGGCAGGTGCATCTCTTTGGTCACATTCATGAGCAGCGTGGCCACTGGGACAGGAGCTGAGCGGAGAAGATGGTCCTGCAAAGGGCGGTGGTCGCGTTTTGATCGTTTTGCGACGATCCAAAACGATGGGTGATCCGATCCGGTCATCCTAAGAAAGACGTCAAAGAGATAGACACCAACGATTGGGGTTTCGTCATGTTTGGTCCATATGCTCTCTACTTCAGGGTTAGCGTACAATTTAACTCTTGAGGTAACTCTTGATGTCCTTTGGAAGAACATGAAGAAACTTGAATCAGTTTTGAGTCTACCTGAACAATTACTATAGTAACAAGAAGCTACGTTCGGGGCTCCTGGCATCGCGAACCGAGTCCGGAGCCTTCGGACGCATCGCTACGGGGCGAAACTGGCCTTGCTAGTAAGAAGCTACTAAGTTGGGATACCCTGTGAGGTCCGTCGGTCGGCTTCATTCCGAACTTCGAACTCTGAGAGTGGGTGCTTTTAACGAGTTGTGGGCCGTGGGGCTCTACCCATCTCGACCTGGCTGGCCTATTTACTTGGCCTACGTTTTTCCATATCTATGGTCATTTTTTCCAGAGACACTAGTGACACTACCCCACAAGGACGTATAGGGACTTGAGAACTGACATGCATGTCCACCCATGCCGTGCATGGCGGCTCCGGCTCCGGCTCCGCCGCAGGAGTGGCGCCAGCTTCACCGGCGGCGTGGAGTACCGTCCCAGCCCTCACACAGGACAGGTCTTCCGGCCCAACGGGCCCCCAGCGCAGAACTACCCCGTCGAGGCGAATGGAGTGATGGGTGGGGGGTGAGGAGGAGTTTCCGGGCTCATTGAAAAGGTCCACATTGTAATTGTGATGTAAATACAGTAGGCTATCTGATTTGACATGGTTTTACAATCCAAATGGTGGGGGCTTTATTAACCAACCCAGCAAGTCCAAAGGATAAGTTAAACTGGTGCCCAACTTCCAAGACCTAATTTTCACAGGTTTTCACGGCCTTTGATCCTGTTTTCACGGGCTTTTCACGGGTTTTTCGTGTCCTTTTCATGGGTTTTTCACGGCCTTTTCAAGCTTCCAGCTCCCGTTTTGCTAAAGCACCGGTTAAACCGGTGCGTTACTAAAGAACTGGTTAAACTGGTGCGTTGACCCACTGGGCAAGATTCCGCATGAAGCAATGTGGTCTTTTGCTACACTGCGGACTCGCCGTCACCAGAAGAGAACGACTCAGGCACGAGAAGAACTGTAACTGTGCCATACTGTGCCTGCATGTGTAGCCTTGTGAGACCGCTGGCTGATTTGCTAGATTTGCTGTTATGAGATGTTATGAGTGTTGCAAATCCCGGACCTTGTGTTCGACCATTGAAGCAATTCAGTTGAGCTGGTTTTACTGTCCAACCCCTCAAAAGGTAAGTCTACATGGCCAAATCTTTGATCGGCCGAAGAAACCATGCTTAACAAACCCATCACCATGGTGGTCGGAGTCCTTGGGGGACTCCTCTCCATCGCTGGGCTCCGAGACTCGCTCCGGCGCGCGCGCGACATCTGCGTTGCGGCGCGATAGCCTGCTGAGCCTGCGCTTCCAGGTGGAGTCCAACAACGCCATGGCCAACCAGCCAGCAGCTGGGGCAAAGCAACAAATGGACAAAAGGAATAAGACATTAATAAAAGACTAATTAGAGAGAGTCTGACCGGACATGATCAACGTAGAACCATGTTGTGCGCCCTTCGACGCTCTTACAAGTTTGCAGGCTGAATTCCTGAGAACGTGTTGACGCTTATCCCGCTTTTTCCCACCCAGAAGTAGGACAACTCCGCACCGAAACCAGTGCGTGAACATGCGTGAACATGATTGAATTACACTCCGACTCACTCACCCAGAACTACGTGGAGGTCATCACCTCCTGTTTCTTCCTGAGAGCTTCACAGGTTGGCCTTTGGGGCCCATGAGCCGTTTCAGGGCGTTGGGAGTGTGTAAGAAGCTGCCCTCGCACGGGTCACGGTGAGACACGGACACGTCGCCGCGCTTGGACGACGCCACGCGATGCGATGGGTTCACCGATGGCGATAAGCGGATGCAACGGCGAAACATACAGCTCACCCCACATGTTGTTTTTGCTTGTCCCATTTGGTCCCCTTTCCGGAAAGGACTTGGATGCTTTTCTTGTGACTGTGAGCCAGCACCTGAGTCGCTCTGGTGGGAGAATGCGCTGAACATACAGGTCATTTTAGTTGCACGTTCCTTGCCATTGCTTTTCGGCCGTGAGGGTGACAGACCCTTGGCCAACAAGCACCTGGTGCTCACCCGTCGGGGTAGAACTGGATTTGAATGGAAAAGGGTGGGCCGTCTCCGGCCGGCCTTGGAACTGGCCTGACAGGTGGGTATTATGAATAAGATATTGAGGAGGAATCAAAACTCACCCCAAGATGCATGGCTTACAATATCCCAGACACGACACATGGGACCGCCATATATGCCTACATTGTGCCGATCAGTTGGGGTGGTTTTGGGGGGGTCAATGTATATAGGCGTATATGGCAGTCCCATGGAGTGTTTGGGTATGGCTGTGGGTCATGGCACCAGGATACCAAATATGTTGGACCTACCGACGAGACGGACGCCCACATGTCTGAATGTTTCCGGCCGAGGCCCCTTCAGCTTTGGGTACCGGGACCGTTGGTCTCCACGAACGACCAAGTAAAATAGGAGCGGACCCTACCTACGTGTTCGACCCATGATCCGCTCACTCTAAGAGGCTTGCGAGTGTGGCAGAGGAACCATGCGAAGGATCAACAAAAATGGCATGAAAGCTGGATTGGTCGGGCCTATAGCAGCTTGCACGACCCATCGCCATATCTGAATCTGAACATGTCGACTCTCTTGAAGACATGTACGGGTGGCCCAAGAGAGTCGATACGGAAAACGCCTGAAGAAGGTGATTGGGGAATGCATCAACTTGTAGACCGATCCAGAATCCAGTAGGCCGAAAAAAGGAGCGACCTAAAGCAATCTAAAGCATCTGTCAATGTTGCGAATGCACATGTGAGATTTGTTTTCCAATTTGCAATGCATTTCATGATGAGAGCGGATAGATGACATTCGAGTCACACCGCAATCGAATTTCAATTCTCAAATCCGGCCGAAGGGCCCTTGAGTCACGTTCGGCGACGACCTTCGCCACCCGCTGGCATCGTGAGAAAGGACGCATCGCGGCCTTCGAGTTCTTTTTCTTTGGTTGCTTGGAACTTCGTGAGTTCAAGTACTTCGAGATTGGTAGCGGAGCCCAAGACGATCCTCCCGGAATTTGACCAGGGTGAACTTTTTGTTTGAAGACGCCTATAGGGTAATCCTGGCCGGTGAGAATTGGCTCATCTTAAAGATCACGTTCAGCAAGGCAGTCAAAAATGAGTGGTCAGCAAAGAAGACAGCGAGATAGACCAGAAGGTGAACAACCAGTTGATGTCCCCATACCTCCTTCTCCTCCACGTGCAGCGAATGGAGCTAGTCCAGGAACTCCTTCCTCTGGATCCAACAACTATCGTGGATTGGATAGTGGCTTGGCAAAGGCCGCACCATCGGCCGAGGGGCTAACGCAAAGTGGCTATCGCAGCTACAGAAGACGATTGGAATTGTATGCCCTGCAGTGTCGTCGACGCTCAACGGATGCTGAGATTGAAGGTGCTCTTTTGGTCATCGGCCTCCTCAAGGACACTGTTTGGGATGCGGCAGAACAAATAGATTTGAAAGAAATCACAAGTGGAACAAATCCGTTCGCACCTTTGTTCACCATGATGGACCAGCTATTTCAATATGAAGAACAAATTGAGGTTCCATATCGGTGTGAAGAGTTCTTTCAAAGCTTCAATCGTCAGAAGGGAGAAGAAATGCAGGCATACCTCATTCGCCACCGCACTGCTTTGAAGAAACTTCGAGAGGTCAAGATCGACATTCCACCACTTCTTGCTGGATGGCATTTGTTGACCCGAAGTGGAACTCCAAAATGGACACACGTGCAAGTGAAAGCATTGTGCAAAGGCGAGCTTGACTATGAAGAGGTCCAACGAGCTTTGCTTCGAATGTTTGGTGGAGATCACAAACCAAACACCAAGGACATTGGACCTGTTGCCAAGTCATCCAAAGACGAGTTCTTCTATGAGGAAGACTTTGATGAGGAGTTCTACTACGAAGGAGAAGAAGAAGATGATTGGCATGAAATCTACTATGAAGGTGATGAAGATGAAGAAGAAATCCCTGAGGAGCTTGAAGAGGCATACGAAAACATGGATGAAGCCTACATCTCCTACTTGGAATCAAGGAAAAGAATGAAGGAACTTGCCTTGGCTCGTGGCTTCTACCCCGTCGTAGCCATTGGTCCTGACTACGACCATGGCAAAGGAGGCAAAAGCGAAAGAAAGGGAAGCTCAAAGGGCAAAGGAAAGAGTAAAGGAAAAGGAAAGGGAAAAGGCAAAGGAAAAAGCATGTTTCCTCGACGCCCAATGCATGGTCTTCGAAAGCCACCATCATCGTCGACCACTACCTCCTCCGAGTTGAGATCAACCCTGACCGGTTCCAATTCTTCTCATGGACCGAGGTTCAAACGATATCGAGTGCAAGCACAAGGTGTCAAAGAAGTTGGAGGTGAAGAGGTGACCATGGTGGAGGAACTAGCGGAAGAGTGCTTTCAAGAGGACATCTTCTTTGCCACCCTTGCTCCAGGTCACGCAATTGTGGATTCAGGTGCAACAAGAACATTGGTCGGAGAAGAAGTGTGGAAAGAATGGGTCGAGCACTATGATGAAGGCCTACTTGGACCTCTCCGTACTCAGGCACAAAAGCGATCCTTCAAGTTCGGCGGCGGAGAGATGCTTGAATCCAACTACGAAATCTCCTTCAACGCCTTGGTGAAAGGTCAAAAGTTGCCCATCACGGTTTCAGTGGTACCTGGGCACACTCCCTTCCTGTTGGCGAGACCTATGCTAGAAAAATGGGGGGTGAAACAAGACTACGCCAGTGGCAACATGAAGGTGGCTCAATCCGAATGGTTTCAACCAAGTCGTGGACAAAAAGGCCACTATGTCTTGAACTTGTTGGAATATCATGAAGACGAACAAGAGATGAACTACATCACGGAAGAAGAGGTCTTGATCTCGACAAGTCCACTGGAAATTGAACCGCCCTGTGAGAAAGAACCGTCTGACATTGCAGAGCAGATCCTCATGGAGTCCGAAGCCAATGAAGTTGAAGAGATTTCTCAACAAGTTTTGCAGCGCCTTCAACAAGAAAGAAAATTGATCTTCTTTGAGGTCTATGTGGATGAAGGCAACCTGGCTACAGAACTGTTGAAACGCTTTCCAGACTGTGAGGTCGCCACTTTCAGCCTACCTCATTGGGACTTTGAAAAAGAAAGTGACCGAAAAGCATTCCTCAAGTTGGTGAGAGAACAAAAGCCTCACTTCATCTGGTGTGCACCACCGTGTGCGAAATGGTCACCAATGCAAAGGCTCAACATGATCAAGGCCGAAAAGCTAGCATACATCCTGGAATTGCAAAAGCAAGAAGAAAAGCAACATTTGAAACTGGTATTGGATGTCACCGACATCTGCAACTGGGAGATCAATGCCGGCATGGCCATGGAGCATCCTCATTTGGCTATGTCATGGAAGACGAAAACCTTGGAGTCCATGGATGGTTATGATGCAATCTGCAACCGATGCAGGACCGGCTTGTGCTACTATGATCGCATGGGAAACTATGTCGGAAAGGTCAAGAAACCTACGAGGATTCGCACAAACAGCCAAATGGTCTTTGAAGCACTTGATCTTCCATGTGAATGCCTTCCTGGAGAGCATGTTGCTATGGATGGAAAAGCAGAAAGCTTGAAGAAAATGCAAAACTACGAAAGAGGCTTCGTGAAAAGAGCAGCAAATGCCATCTATCAGGAGATGGAAGAACGATGGCGACAAAGAGAGATAGCCAAGATCTATATGGTTGAAGAGCAGGATGAGAAAAACAAAGTGAAGAATGCATCCAACATCACTGAGGAAGAGAAGAAGCTGATGAAGACCCACAGCAAGCAAAACCTACAGGTCATCAGCAAACTGCACAAGCAACTTGGACATCCAGGTGTAGATCGGATGATCAAAACGCTTAAAGATGCAGGTATGGATGAGTCTCTGATCCGATGTGCCAAAGACTACAAGTGTGAAGTATGTGAGCAACAGGCACAACGGAAATTGGAGAAACCAGCTTCACTGCCTCAGGCCAGTCACTTCAATGAATGTTTGGAAGCCGATGTTTTTCACATCCGCTGGAATGGAGAAAAGCGAAAGGTTTTGGCCATCCTCGACATCTATTCCAAGTACGAAATCAATTGCAGTGTTGGAGAGAGAAACTGAAGAAGCTGAATTGAAGATACTTCGTGAACAATGGCTTCAAACTTTTGGTCCTCCAGAACGATTCAGAACAGACCAGTCGGGAGCACACATGAGTCAGAAGTATCTGGACTTCTTCGACCAAAACAACATCAAGCTGATCCTCGTGCCCAAAGAAGCTCACTATAGAATGGTATCAGTGGAAAGACTCCACGCTGTGAGAAGAATGCAGCTGCTCAAAATGCAAAAAGATGAACCGAATGTACTCCTTGAAGAAGCTGTTCCAGTTGCTTGTCATCAACGAAACCGCCTTCGTTCAGTGCATGGCAGCTCACCATACCAAATCGTTTTTTGGACACAATCCTCAATCGAACGGTCTTTGTGATGAACCGCACTTGTCCAAACCGCTCGATGACACGGAACAGCACCAAAAAGATCAAGCACTTCGGTACTCAGCAGCCAAAGCATTTTATGAAGCCAACAACAACCAGCTGCTCAAACGTGCACTTCTTGCCCGGCCACGGTCTGAACATGTGGCCGCCAGCCTTGGCGATTGGATCTACTACTGGAGACAGGGGGAAAACAAACTTGACCCTACTCGCTGGCGTGGCCCTGCATTGGTCTGCGCCATAGAGCCCCGCAAGAACGATGACGGCCGCATCCGAGCTTCTGTTTACTGGGTTGCTCATGGATCCAGTTTGGTGCGTGTTGCAAGTGAGCATATTCGTGCCGAGGTGGCTCGAGAAAGAGTTCATCGCCTGGAAACGCAACCTGACACAGCTGTTTCGAACAGTTTGGTTCATCGAGTTCGACAAGCTCTGACCCCTGTGCAGGGTCCTGTGCGTTTTCTTGATCTTGCAGGGGATCCCACCTTTTCGAATGCAAAGGCTGAAACTTCTGTCCTTTCTCTGGTACCACCAGAGACAAAGGCTGAAACTTCTGTCCCTCCTCTGGTACCACCAGAGAGTCCAGAAGTTCCAATGTCAGAACCTCAAGCCGAAGAAGAAGTGACAACAGAACCTCAGCACACTGCGGCAGCAGCAGAACACAAGACAGCAGCAGCAGAAGCTGAAGCAGTTGAAGTAGAAACAAAAGAAGACCAAGATCCAAGTGGCCGAGGAAGATCAAGAAGCCCTCCACCTCATGACTCTCGGCACAAAGACTTTGAAAACCTGTATGAGTCCTACAACAAGGCACGTCAACTTGATGGCCTCCCGCCTGTTTCTCGAGATGATCATCAGCTGAAAAGTCAATATGACATGCTGTATGGTGAGGAAGTTGATTGGCTGGACGAAAATTTCCTGGCCACTTCATTCAGTGAGAAGAACCTCACCAAAGAGCAGAAAGAAGAGTTCGCCGAAGCTCGCGACAAGGCTTTGGATGTCTGGTTTGAGAATCAAGCATGGCGACCAGTCGATGCCTCCGAAGCCCAACCAGGCGAAGCAGTACCAGCAAGATTTTTGCAGCGCTGGAAGCCAACAAAAGAAGGGCAGAAAGCAAACGCCCGAATCATCATACAGGGATTCAAACATCGTGATGTGCTCGAAGACACTGTAGATAAGGAAGCTCCTACTTTGTCCATGGTTGGTCGCAGCTCCATTTATCTTTTTGCAGTGGTTCGTCAGCTCAAGCTGTGGAGTGCTGATGTGAAGACTGCTTTTCAACAAGCAGACAACATCGAACAAGAAGCCCGAGTGTTCATACAGCCCTCAGCTGAGATTCGACGCCTCCTGGAGAGAAAGATTGGCTTGAAACCATGGCAAATCATGCGTGCATCCAAGCCCGCTTTTGGTGATTGCAGAGCTCCAAGACAGTGGAATGCAACTGCTCATAGGTGCTTGACTGAGGAACTTGGCATGATCCCACACCCTTTGGATCGTTGTGTGTACCTCAGCATTCGAGCTGCATATGAATCTGATCCAGCTTTCGAAGTGTTCCAATGGAATGGGGTCCCTAGCATTGTTGACGGCATTTTTGGACTCCATGTGGACGACTTCATTGGTGCTGGTGAAGGTTTCTGCAGTGAGCATGATTTGAAAAAAGGAATGTCCCAATGAAGAGTGTTTCCTCAACCGCATCCTGCGTTTGGCTCAGCGTTTTCGTTTTGGTGCATGGGATTTTGGAAATGGCTCAAAGATCATCTTTTGTGGTGCTGAACTGCAGCAGTCGCTAGACTACTCCACCATTTCGGTGAGTCTGGCGAACTATGTACAAAAGGTGAAACCGATTTCATTGGACAAATCCAGGAAAACAATGACAGAGTCTCCATGCGATGAACGTGAACACCGACAGTTCCGTGCCCTCATTGGTGCGCTAGCATGGCCTGCTCATCAAAGCATTCCAGAGTTGTGTGCAAGCGTGAGCATTTTGCAAGCATCAGCAAGCAATCCATGTGTTGGTGATTTGAACCAAGCAAACAAGCTGCTTCGTTTTGCAAAAGAAGTTTCAAAAGATCACCAACTGTACATGCGTGGTTCATGTGCTTTTTCTGAGTTGTGCATTGGAGCCTATACCGATGCTGCCTGGGCCGTGAGACCCGACGGATCAAGCCAAGGTGGACTTTTGGTTTTCATTTGTTCGCACCAAGAGCTGGAATCCGGCAGCATGATGCCGCTCAATGTCTTTTACTGGAAATCGCACAAGTTGGCACGCATTTGTAGGTCAAGTTTGTCCTCAGAGGCTCAAGCAGCCGCCATTGCAGTGGATGAGCTTGAATGGTGCAAGATTTTTGTTTCCGTCATGATCGACCCCACCTTGCCGATCGAAAGTCCGGAAGCATTGAAAAAGCTTGGACCATCCCCGCTTGTGACAGATGCAAAATCTTTGTTTGATGCTGCCAAGTCCTTGTCTCCCAGCATGAAATTGAGTGAGAAAAGAACTGCGATCGAAGTGGCCATCGTGCGAGATCGCATGAACGCTTTGTTGGGAAAATGGATGTGGGTGAACTCACATCAACAGATCTCGGACGGCTTAACAAAGCCGGCGTCGCGAGATTCCATGGCCTACATCATGAAGCGTGGCACCCATCAACTCAAGTTCAACCCCGACTTCACAGCCTCCAAGAAAGTGTCCTCGGAAGCCAAGAAAGAAGAAAGAGAAATCCATGAAGCTTTTTCAAAAGAAATGGAAGAACAACAAGTTTTTGCAGTAGAAGAGTGGCAAAAGCAGGAACAAGGTCTTTGTTTGCTTCCCAAATGCTGCAAACCTCGCAACGAGAGTGATCCTCGAAACAAATATTGCAGCAGAAGGCACTTCTATGCCCACCGTAGCTCTCAAGGACATCAAGACGAATGGAAGAAAGCAGCTTTGTTTTCCGCAGCCATTTTGATGGCCAGCGAAGTCCCTCTCGTCGAAGGAGCGCTGGAACTTGTGGAAGAACAAGCATGGAGTGGCCCAGTGCTCATGTCCTTTTTTTGTCATCATGGTCTTCGCATGGATAGGTCTTGAGAACGTGTTCTTGCGCTTTGGCATTGAAACCATCTTCTACAAGGCCTACAGCTTTGTGAATGCCAAGTTGATGAATTGGTTCAAGAAGGAGGTGATTGAAAACGAACAGGTCACTGAGAACAACGAAGTTCCTGAGAATGACCCGGTGCTTGTGAACCAGCTCAATCCTCCGAGCCATGTCGTTTCCGCAGCTGTTCAGGCCGATGAGGTGATTCTAAATGCACTGACCTTGGCCCGTCGTCCTGGAATAGATTCAGGAAGCACGACTACGAACACAGAGTCGGATCTTCCAGATGAAGAATGGCATCGCTGGAGTCGCATGAAGGTGAGAGTTCAAAACGAGGCTGGACAAGGCCCATATCGTCGCCTTCTATGGGAACTTGAAAACCATGATAGCAGTCTGGACTCCCAGACAAGGTGCGTGTTGCAATCTGAGAGCTTCACCACACAGCGCTGGAGGAAGTTCAGTGAATTGCTTCGAGCTCAGGACACCTCGCAATTTTCTGATGAGCAAGTATGTCAGTGGCACCGAATGTGGAATGACAACCTGGTGTTTTTGGCTGACGTGAATCGTCGCATCGTTCGTCAGAGAAATCAGATCATTGCCTTGGAACGCAATGACCGTGTCCGTGAGCAAATCTACAACGGTGAACTGGCTGACCGAACCTGCCAGACTCCTATGACGTTTGTTGCTGGCACTCGACCAAGGCGCCTGGCTGAGAGAGAACATGGTGCCTGGTACCATGTGAGTGATTTAGATGTCCTTCGTTGAAGAGGACTCTAGCCCGCTTTTTGAATTTTCTTCGACAGCCCTTGAAAACTTCCTTGGGCGTGTCAATGTTGCGAATGCACATGTGAGATTTGTTTTCCAATTTGCAATGCATTTCATGATGAGAGCGGATAGATGACATTCGAGTCACACCGCAATCGAATTTCAATTCTCAAATCCGGCCGAAGGGCCCTTGAGTCACGTTCGGCGACGACCTTCGCCACCCGCTGGCATCGTGAGAAAGGACGCATCGCGGCCTTCGAGTTCTTTTTCTTTGGTTGCTTGGAACTTCGTGAGTTCAAGTACTTCGAGAGCATCCTAATGCAACATCGGAAAGAAAGGGGTCACGTTGAACTGTCCTGGCTGACTTCACCTCACCAGATGGCCTCAGCAACAGGCCAAGAGGGCACAAGGAACCACTCCAGGCCCAGGCCTTGGACCACCGCCCAGGCCGTGGACCACAGCTGGACGGGCATTTGGGCTCCTCAGCACATCGTCGGGCGACCGCGGCTCATCACGGCCAAGCGGGAAGGCGGCGCCAAACGGTCTGCGTTTTCCACCCGGATGGTGTTGTTGTGAGGTTACGCTTTTCTCCTAAGGGGGGTGGAGGACACATGGTCTATAGTTATATGACAACAGCTGCTAATGACGCACTAAAACGACTACTGCTGGCACCAGTGCCATCACTCTGAAAACACTATAGTTTGCCCAGTGGGCTTGTGTAGACCTGTTGTGATATGTTGCGAGGTGTTCCTACTTGTTCAATCGATGGCAAGTGAAGTTCTTCCGTGGTGTGCCTTCTTATATATGTGAAAGTGCCAGAGCTGAGACCCCTGAGACCCCCCAGGTGAGGCCTGGCATTTCACCTCTTCCGTGCCATGAGGGAGCCTCGCGACGCATGAAATTAGGCGGTTTAAGGCGCCTGACATGCCAGGGTATGCTGACATGGGGTGTGGGTCAAAGACAGAGGCCCGTGGCGGCCCAAATCGGCCGTGACGGCGCTGACATGCGCTGACCCATCCCCACTGTAAAGGGTCAACTTCCACAAGATCACCAGAAAGCGAGACCTTCTACCCTTTGCTGTTTCAATAAGCTCCTACCCTGGCCAATTCCAGTTTTCCCGGCTCAATAGAGGCCACTCAAGCCTTTTTGGACGCTGCCTTGCTTGACCCTTCTCCAGAAGTTCAATTGTCCCGTGCAAAGACCATGTTCTGCGCAGCGTGCGCGGAACATGATTCAGAATGGCTGAGGAAGGGTCACAGCTGGAGTGCTAATTCGTGCATGACATGTGGGATGAACCTCTTTTATTTTGGATCCCACGACCCCCATGGGCGCCGTTCGGTTTGATCGAACTGTTTGGCGCAGAAACCCACCAACTAGGCGTTTCAGTACTTGGACAGTGGAGGCCAGCAGATTTTGTGATCGGCTGATCTCGCGCTGGGGGGGAGCCTGAAGTAAGCATTTGATGTCCCAGACCCCGTCTATATTCTTCTGTATCTAAGGAGCATCATCTATCGACACGACAGAACGCCTTGCAGCAGCATGTTAGCATGTTGTTAGGCCAATCCTGTAGGGCAGTTGAAGATAGATAGGCAAAGTGACTCCCTGTGAATTATATGTCAGTTTGATTTGGGATCCTGATCCTTTATTTTTTTGGGGGGGGGGAGGGGGGAGTTCTCACATCGGCTCGATCTCAAGAAGGTCCTCCCGTGGGGCACCAGATGCACCAGGACCCCCCCAGAAAGGGCCCCAGACTTAGGTCACGTCGGCATGGGCGAGAAACGGTGTGCTGGGAAGTCAGGTTTTTGAAGTCAAGAAATATAGAAAGACATCCTCCTGATGCAAGGGATTCCCACCCGATCATGGGATGTTGCCGATCATAGGTCTTGGAGACGGACGTTGAGGCATTTGATGTTCTGGATTTCGTAGAGGTGTTTGTCTAGTTCTCTCGAGCACGAGACAAGGGGTCCTTCAAACGAGACCTTTGGTTTGAGGACAGCTGGAGAAAGATTGGCCTTGGCACGGACAATCACATGTGTTTCCATCTCGGGAGAAGATGAGCAGATGACCAACCCTACAATTCGGACTGTCAGACAATCAGATGCAACAGGTCTAGACCACTTGAAGCTTGATGAAACCTCCAGAAGCATCTGGTTGCTTCACCTCCTGCTCCGGATCTACCAATCGCTCGGTGCCTTCTCACCCGCCCAGTCGCATCACCGGAGTGCGCTCCAGGCCGCGCTGGGCCGCGCTGGGCCATGGGCAGCCTGTCGCCACCGAGGTGAGGAAGTCGCAGAACGACGGGCACGAAGTGTAGCAGGTCCCGTTTCGACGGAATGGCGGGGTTCATTCTAGGGGTGTCAAACGGATGGTTTTCGATCTGGCCTAACTTGGCGATCGGCTTGTAGGTTTGGTTGGTTGTAAGATGTTATAGCATTTAAGTTGCATGATCTTTTGTTGGGGGGTTGTGTAGGAGGTAAGGATTTGTCTGGAATTTCTCTATACTGTAGATCAACCATTACTAGTAATATGCAAGTTTTTTCATACATGTTCCAGACTCTCCATTTGTTGCAGATTGCATATTTGCCTACATTGGGGTGGTTTAAGGAGTCAATGCGTCAAAAAAAAGAAGGTCCCATTTGTCATGTTTGGGCTTGTACGGTTAGTATATTGAAATAATTTGATATATATTGAATGCAGATGGCTGGTTCGTGGATGTCCGATCTTGAACGGCCTTGAAGCTACTGTCTCCTAAGGAACGTTATCCATCCCAGACCATCCATAGGACTGGAATAGTTACCTACATTCGGGTGGTAAATGGAGCCAAATGATAGCCCATGTATGTAACAAAATGTCACCCATGGATGTTCTAGAATCTAGAATCATAATCAATTACACTACTCCGAATTCGATATGGCACGACGTGACAAGGAGAATGGGAATTTCATGGAAGACCCACTTTGCAGGTTCGCAAGAACACAGGTCTCTTTCCAAGGCTCGTCTTTGCAGGTCGTGGGTGTCGTCGCCCGACCGAGGCCAGTCAGACTGGCCCCACGAAGGAAGGGTTCAAGGGTCTCATTGCTACAGTGGTTTCAGAGTAGATGGCACATACCTCAAGATGTCCTTTACATGGGGGTTCATACAAACCACCTCTTGGGGTTTGTGCCAGCTACTCTCAATCCACTATAATGAGAGCTGGTGGAGGATGCACATCAAGAAGCCCACGAGATGTCAAGCCGAAGAGCTGGCCATGGCCACGGCCACTGCTGGCTTGTGGGGAGGCCACCAAGCAGGAAGTGACTGCTTGCATGTCTTCAGTAGAATCAGTAGGAACAGTTCTTTCTGCAGCAGAGTCTATGACTCTGAGCCTGTGAATCTTGGATGACCATACCGTGGTGAATATCGGTAGGTCACCAATCCCCAGAAAACATACACTGGACCGACTACCGGACTGATATTTGACCTACAGGCAGCCTCGCTCAGTTGCTACTAGTAGCTTCTTGCTACTAGTAGTGAGAAAAACTCCTAGTAGTAATGCAGTTACTAGTAGCGATGCCCTTTGCTACTAGTAGCTTCTTGTTAGCAGTAATGCCAGGAGTTACTAGTGGCTTCTAGTTAGTCGGTCATACCTGTAGCAACTACAGACCTTCCTCTTCGCGTGAGGCGGTCGGACACAGCCACCTTCGCGCGCCTGGGGCGAGCGGGCCAGTGGGAGGAGGCGCCCTCGGTCGTTCATGCGGAGACCTGGTGGAGAGCGGGGAGTGTGAGCAGGGATGGTGATATGACCCTGGCCGGCGCGCAGGTAGGAGCTCAGGAGATGGGGGTGTTCATGTTCCCCATTAAACAACTAAACAGGGAGCTGTTCGGAGCTTCTTGTTACTACTAGTAGCGATGCACCTTGTTACTGGTAGCTTCTTGTTACTAATATGTTGTAGGATGTCGTGTTGATTGTTTTGATCTTGCGCTGATTTGGAGAGTTTGTTGCCACAGCACATCGCTGCACATTTGAGCTAGTCTTTGGGTGTTCTGGTGAGGGTCTCGGAAGACAATGATCCTCTCAGCCTAGTTCTCAGGCTATATCTCGCATGGGGCAGTCCACCCTGCCACAGTGGAAGAATCTTGATCACCCTTTCAACAGGAGGACTCTCAACCCACCAACATCCAACTACACCCGGGAAGATCAACATGGAATCTGAAAATGGACCGTCTTGGAAGACGAGCTTCCTCCACAAATCAGTGGTTGTCAGCGGGCGTACCCGCCAGCTCAGACGTCCGAGCAGCGAAGGTTTTGCTGCTCCTTGACAGCTTGCCCAGCAAGCAGGCGAGGCTGCCTAGTCTTCTCTCGTGGCGCGAAGCAGGGCATGGCTTAAGCAGTGTCAGCAGCGCTTTGGTCCTTTCCCTTCGACAAGAAATGGCTGTTGTGCCTAGGGTGAACAAGGAGAGTAAGACTCCAACAAGAGACAAACGCTTCAATTTTCAAGGCCACTTTCATTCTTGCAATTACGTAGTGCGGGATGTTTGGTGGCCCCTCAGCAGCGCGAGCTCAATGGATTTATTCAGGTTCCTTTGATTTGATTGCTGTTCGATGTGCTGCAGCATTTGGCTCATTTCATCGAGGACCTTTTTCCCCTCTCAGCATGGTGTGCCTTGGTGTGGTGGGAGATGTGTGGGTGGCAGCAATGAACAAACATCAGACAACTATAGACAACATGTCTAGACGGACGTGTTTTTGCCAATCACCGCCCTTGCTCGGTGTGCTTTAGAACGGTGCAGTCCAAAGCCCTTCTCTTGGCCGCCATTGAGAGCCAACTGAAGAATGTCGCTAAGAGAGTCGTTTCCCACACCGAAACCACTGAACAACTAAACAACAAATCTCAATTCAGATCAGCTTGGCCAGAGAGTAGGTGCTGCAATTTTTCTGCTGCCAGCTTTGGCCTTTTCAGGTGCATCGCCTTCCTCGTGCTCTTGGTGCCCGTCACCTTGGCGACTGAAGCAGTGCCCACGGAGGCCACTGAGGCCTCACCTACGACCACGACTACCACGGACACGCTGTGCACTCAGTCGGGCATCCTACAGGCAGTGAAGCGGATGACGCCCGCGTGCATCGCGGCGTGCCCGGACCTGTGCTCCTCGGATTGACTCATGTGCACACAACAAATCTCGGAACGACACCCCGTCCTATCGAAGTTGCGTGTTTTTCGTGTCCATGTTCTTGCATCGAATGGCAAAATTTCCCATTTGGGGAGTTATTTCATGAGACATGGGTGGCATGGGGCTGATTCGCGGTGATTCGCGTATATTTGCGTTGCTGTACTGTACATGGCCAACCAACTGCGCAAGGGATCTCCATGTTCCACAATACTGATCATCTGATCCAGTTTGCAGCATTGCGGTGACTCATTCCCGCCGGTTTTGAACCCTTCGAAGGAGCAGTCAATATATGTTGATTTCGACCCCTGAAGATGCTAGATGTGCTCAAGTCGCTCTGAGAGAGGGGACCCCTTGATGAGCACACGTTTGCCGCCCTGCCCGAGCACACCTTGAGGTTCGGAATTGAACACCATCATCATGACGGCACTCATGGGCATCAACCCAAAAGCACAGGCCCTCCGAGCGTGAGAGGGGAGTTGTTGGGGGTGGGGAAGCTGTGCCACCTGAGTGCGCTGTCGGTTCGGTGGGTACCGCCTAGTAGGTGGTAGATGGGTGCACAAGTGGCACCTGCAGGCCCATGAGTTTGTCATGGACACCGCATGGTACAGCAAGTGCGGACCATACCGCTGAAAACAAACCTAGCACGGACAGACTCAGACTTAATTAATGAACTGTATACGTCGAGCTTTCATTCAAGCCCCTTCAATGTCCGATTGCTATGAACACCATTCATTCCCGCAACACAACTTGCACGGCAGTGCCTGGTGACCTGCTGCGGAGTGGGAACTTTGGGCTTGGCAACAAAGAAACATAAGGAACTTTGCAGCAGAGGAGTTGAATCTGGCTGCCAGCTTTTCCTGAAGAGCTTAAACCATCTTAGATCGGACAGAGAGCAAGTGAAACGGAGGACGAACCAATGAAAGTTCGCACGCATGACTTTCAAACCATGAGAGGCTCGTCCCGTGCCGAGGTGTGTGCCAGTTTCGACACCTTCGTTTGCATGGACCGGGATGTTTGCTATTCGCTGCTCGACACGGCTGCGAGCTACGACTTGTTCCCAGTGCCGCGCAACGAAGCGGAGCTGCGGGCCGCTTGGTGGAGTTGCGGTCGGCTGCTTCGCTGCGCGGGCGAACCGCGCGGCTCCCATGGCTCCCAATAAAGGGAACGCTGCCCTCTTGGCAACAAGGTCCCAGACAAAAGAGGGCGCAAGCCAGGGCGCATTTAGGCGAAGGAGGGGTGGGTGAGGAAATCGGGTATTGGGTATGAGTTATGAGTTCTAAATCATGATCTATTAATTAATGTTCTATTGAATTGTTTCACATGTCCATGTCATGTTCATGCAGAGCCATTCTTTTCACAATAGCGTACAATAACAAGAATCACCAAACCAGCCGCAAGCCCTTTTGCAACGGATACTTGTAGTCCTATAGTCCTGCTCTATTTGCTCCCAGATGGTCATTGGAGCTTTACCCGACACAGGTTGCTCCTAAAGTCCTTTTCGCAGCGTGAAACCCTCCTTCCAGGTGCAAAACTCCATCGTTTCGCTCGGATGAAAGCTGCAAAGCACATCTCAGGAGCAATGCGGGATGCCTCCTGCTGCCCCTCGACGACGAAAGCGGGTGGTGCTTACCATAGATTCCCATAGCTAGAACTAGAACGCACAACTTCGTGCATTTGTTACAAGCCAACCTCATTTTTTGGCACCGTTGCCACAACTTGGCAGTGCCTGAATATGCAGATCCTGTGAGCTACTTCTTGTCCAGTCAGTCACACCGCATCGATGCCTGATATTGAGGATTGTTGAGGAACTGTTAAAAAATATAGGTAGCTTTCACTTGGTGTTCATCTTTTGAGAACTATCGAGGTTCATAGACCACATGTACAGTTCAAATCCACAAGTAGGTTCCTCACTTACCGATGTATTGGACTTGATGGTAGCTCTGTGGACGTTGGAGCATGGACGTGGACAACTCAAACCCACTGTTTCAAACCCAGTCGACCATGGTTCACCCTTGTTTGCCCCCCCCCCGGCGTGCAAAGGAAACACCGAGCCAGGTGGATTGTCCCAGAGATGTTTTAGAATCTGTTAGCGGAAATTGCAGCGAATGGCGTTGGAAAGCTGTGAAACCTCTCTGATCTATGTCTCCTGGTACGTTTTGGTGGTTACAGTGTAAAGCCTGAAGGCCTCAATGAAGGTTTGTGGAGAACTGCGCAGATATTCGACCCATTGATGAAAGCCTTCCAAACCTGCCAGTGGGTTGCTAGTGTGGTTGGGCATGTTTTCCCACTTCATCCCACTTCCACATATGTATCCAATGTTTTGTCGGGTGCGATGATGTCTAAGGACCAGGATGAACAAGATGAGAAACATTACTTCGAAAGATACATACCCAAAGCATCCCAAAGCAATATACATACCCAAAAGATATAGACATACTCAACGATCTTACATACCCAAAGCTGGTCACCCAGCATTGACACCCCAGCTTTGGGAGTGTCCCAGAAAACCCTGCAGTCGGTGAAAGGCCTAGTCTTATCACTCCGTTCGGGACGGACAAGGCCTGCTGAACCGGCTCCACCATCCAAAGCGGCCCCAGGGTGGTTGGGATATACCCAAACCTGGCGGAAGCGTCCGCCAGACTGGCCGGGACCGTGGTCTGCGTTCTTTTTCCCCAGGAGCCCGAGGCGACCGGCGCGGCCGTCGCCGCCGTGCCCGCGGTGGAGGCCACGATGCCAAACGGTCAGACGGTGCGTTTTCCTTTGTACAAAAGCCTAGGGCTCCTGGCCTACCTCCTGAGAAGGTGGTTGGGGTGGGTGGGTGGGTGCCAGGGAGGTCCAACCACCTTCTGAGGATATGTGCTCTTTTGGGGCCCTAGGGATAGACAATGGGATCATCTCTGGTCTACGCTTGACAAGTTTGTTGGCTTTGGGATGCTTTGGGATGTTGTTGTGAATTTGTTCGGCACGGACTGTGGCTTATCATTTGCGTTTGCTAGAAAGACATGGACAGACGCCATCAGCTTGTTGAATCATGCCCTCTTTGTTACAAGATGCTTCTGAAATGCATCATAGTGACTCAAGTGACATCAAGTGACTTTACGTTTGATATCATTTGATACTTGTGAGGATCGCCATGGCAGTCAACACCAGAGGTTTGCAGTCCAACGTCGGAATTCTACCATCCAGTGCTACACCATCGAGGCGAGTGCCTGGATGGTGCCAGAAAAGTCGGGGGTCCACCCCCCTAGGCTTCCAACCACCATTCATATACCCAAAGACTCCATGGGACTGCCATATATTATATGCCTACATTGACCCCCCCAAACCACCCCAATGTAGGTTTTTGTGCCATACATGGAGTGTCTGGAATATACTGCAAACCACCCTCTGGAAAGCCCGCTGAGAAGCGCGACAAGTGAGAGACCGAACCACCAGTTGTACTAAGGATTTTCCACTACAAAACCAGGTCAACCAGTTTTGGAATGGTCTTGGAAGTCTAGGGTGTCCCCCTCCCCACGAGACAAGAACGCTTTGGAGAAGAAGGTATCACTGGTGATACCTGGGACCGAGGCCGGCACCAACGCCACGGATGTGGATGGCACCACGGGCGAGGCAAGTGCGGCTTCGACCAGCGAGTCCGTGAGGAGGGGATGGAAGAAGGTGGGATGGGAGAGAAAGGGGTTTTGAGGTTGGGTCTAAAGAATGCCCTCCCTCATGGCGCATGCGAAACATGGCGAAACACATGAGCCCCGTACATGTGATACTTTGCGTATGGTCCTTCTAGCCGGCAGACCTACCCACCTTGGATCTGAACCGTCATCCAACATCACGCCATATCACGTCATTGGATATAGAGTAAGTATTTGGCCAACACTACGAGGTTTTGAAGCGTATCTTATATATAGTTCGTCTAAACGCAGGATGTTTGTATGAACGGTAATCTCTATACATAATCTAACCATTTGGATTCACTATTGGCTCATATTGGCTCAACTGAGTCAACACCAGCCTTTTGGCTCGCACTGGAGCCTGACGACGTGGCTCGCGTGCGCCGGCGCTCTCCGTTTCGTCCGTCGGTGCAGGACGACCTCAGCTCTTCGGGGAACGAGTTCGGTGGCAGAAGGCGATGGTGGCAGAACGAGTGGGACCGACGCCTCGGTGGTTGAACGA